TTCGCCTGTGTGTGCATATGTACGTCTCTGTGTACCTGTGTGTCTGTGTTTGTCTCTGTCTCTGTGCGTGCATGTCTGTCTGTCTGATTGTCTGTATATCTGTGCGTGCCTGCATGTCTGTGTGTCTGTCTGCCTGTCTGCGGTTGCATGTGTGTGGATACCCAGGTCACGGTGTCGGACGGCGGTCCCAGCCCCAAACAATCCACGGTGTGGGTGATCATCCACGTCCTTGATGAGAATGACAACAAGCCCACGTTCCCAGAGAAGGTGTACCAGATCAAGCTACCAGAGAGGGACAGGAGGAAGAGAGGAGAACCTATCTACAGGGCCTTTGCCTACGACAGGGATGAAGGGGTTAACGCTGACCTCTCCTACAGCATCGTCGATGGCAACGAGGACGGCAAGTTCTTCATCGACCCCAAGACGGCAGTGGTGTCGTCACGGAAGCAGTTCACTGCCGGGAGCTACGACATCCTCACTGTATGTGACCTTTGAACTTTACTTTGAATCTGTGTGTCTCTTTCTAACCCACTGCCATTACTTTGTCTTGTCAACCCCCTCTTCTCTCTCTCTACTAAGTCTGCTCTCTCTCTCACTCTTCTCTCTATCTTCTATCTCTCTGCTCTCCTCTATTCTCTCATCTCTCTATCTCGTCTCTCTCCTCTCTCTCTCTCTCTCTCTCTCACACTTAGTGTTTTTCCTTAGTCATATTTCATAATGTACAGTACAGTATAGAACTTTGTCTATAATACATCTGTGGCTCTTTCGGCGGTCCTCTTGTCATTCTTCTAGTTATTTCTCAGCACTCTCACCCTCTCTGTGACAAATTAATTCATATAAAAATTGTATTTTCTACCCTGCTCTCTCTCTCACCTCCCTCCATCTCTCTGATGCGGTTCGCCGGTCTCGCATCCCACGACGCGCGCGCGAGCGCGACCCCGCGCGCGCGGGACCCCGGAACGCGCTCGCGCGAACCCGCGACCGCGCGGCCCTCTACCCTGTCCTCTCTCCCCTCGACCCTTCTCTACCTCTACCTCTCTCGCTCTACCCGCGACCTCCTTTTCTCCCTACCCTTACCTCTCTCTCGCTCTACCCCTCTACCTCTCTCTCTCTACCCTCTACCTCTATTCTCTCTACCTCTACTCTCTTCTCCAAACCCTTTTCTTTTCTTTCTCTTCCTTCCCGCCCTCCTTCCTGTCCTCCCCATCCCCAGATCAAAGCCACAGATATGGCCGCCCCCAGAAGTCGTCGACGGCCCGCCTGCACATCGAGTGGATCCGTAAGCCCTCGGCCTCGGCGACCCCCCTGCTGTTCGACGAGCAGTACTACAACTTCACCGTCATGGAGAGCGACAAGGTGGCCGAGATAGTGGGTGTGGTCTCCATGCAACAGAACTCCAATCCCCTCTGGTTCGACATCACAGGTATGGTGGGTGGGGTTTGTTAGTGGGAGGGATGTATCTGACTGGCTGAGATGAGGTCAGCCAGGTAGGTTGTCTATAATTATTGGTGCATGGTGTTTGGGCTGACGGTTGGGTTTGGTTTGATGTGTGTGTTTATGCGTGAGGCCCAGCTCAGGTACTGTGACCTCACTGCATGGTCTGTTGCCAGTGTGTCTCTCTCTCTCTCCTCTGCCATCCCACGGTCACCATGGCGATTTTAGCACACACCACTAGCTGTAAAGGTCTGTATGTCAGTGGAGAAGCAATTGAGATGTCTCAAAGTCCCTGCCAGATATTTTGGGAACTCTAATGGAGAGAAATGGCATGTGCTTAAAGGTGTTAATTCACTCTCTTTAGAAGATTGAGAACATTGAGAAACTTACATTTAGAAATTAACTACCCCTTTAAAGTGCTTAAATATGTGTGCTGTTTTTTTACCATAAGGATTGAGGCTCATTCTACCAACTACAGCTGCTAAGAAATATGTCTTTGACATGCTGATTTCAGAAACTATTTAATTTGCCTTATTCTCATGGTAAAGAATGTTGTGTAAGATCAGTGGAATGTCCCCTTTTAAGAGCTTGAAATGCCAGGGACATGCCCCACTTACAAGTATTTTCTTCATTTGAAACTTTTGATATTTTGAAGTCCAATTCTATCCACATAAAAGGCTCAACAAGATTATGTCATGTTCAGTTTTCATATTTGCATTTTTATGCCAACAACAGCGACATTTGTCAAATCCATATTGTTTGGTGAATGAATTATTGTCAAAGCTAGTCGGTTTTAATCTTGCTTTAATTATTTGTATTAATTTAATGAATATTGTAAAATCCATGTAGTTTTATTAGAATTTAAGTTTTGTTAGAATTAATATGATTAGGCTGTTCAACTTTCTAGGAATTGATTGTGGTCCATCTATATAACTATTTTTTATATAATGTAATATAATATTTATAAAGCTGACAATTCTCTAGCCGAACTGCACTGTGGGAAGGTGAGTTTATGTTGGGCACATTCAGGCCAGAGACAAGTGGATTGACTACACGGTCAGGACTGCATTTCCCAGAATGCTCCATGATCCATCTCTCTTTTGTTGTCACTGAGCAGTGGCGGTCAGTGTGTGTTCCAGTGGGAGATACCTTCTGGCTTGTGCTTCCAGCTCTAGGCTCTCTCTCTCTATGGCCTACTACTCTACTCTCCTGTATGCCCCTATCCTCTCCTCCTCTTCTCCTCTCTTCTCTGCTCAATGCCTCACTCCTTTTCTCCTCTGGAATCACATCTCTATTCCTTTCTTCTCCTCTCTTAATTCCTCCGCCCGCGGCCCGCGCCCGGGGGGGAACAGAGCCAGAGCAGGCCCGCCGGCAGCGGGGCGCTACCGGCGCGGGCCCGCGCCCGACCGGTGGACCAGGAGCCGGCCGCACGGCGCGGCCCGCGCACGGGGGACCAGGAGCCGGCGCACCGGCAGCGGGCCGGTCCCGACCGGGGACCAGGCAGCTCGAACGGCGCGGGCGCCGACCGTCCCCGGGTGTACCCAGGAGACACGGCCTGACCGTGCGGGGGCCGCCGTCCCGCCGTTTGGACCTAGGGAATGCCGGCCGCAACTGCGCGTGCCGCCGCCCGGGGACCAGGAGCCAGGCGTACGGCCGGAGCCCCCCCCGTGGGTACCAGGAGCCGGCTCCACCGAGCTAGCCGATCAGCCGCCACCGGGACAAGAGCCGGAGACCGTCGCGTCGACGCACCTGGAACATGGACCGTAGCGCACGGAGGCGGCGAGCCCGGGGTGAACGCAGACGTGCCACGACGGGCCCACACCCGGTTGACCAAGCATTCACATCTCACGTCCTCGCCCGACAGAGCCTAGCAACACGATTTCCTCCCCCTTGACATTATCGTCCAACTTCTCTTCACTCCTCCTCCCTTTACATGATCCTCCTCACCTTCTTCCTCTATCCCCTGTACCATTATCCTTCCTCACCTCTTTCCTCCTCCCCTTTTACCATTATCCTTCTTCACCTTCTCTCTTTCCTCTCCTCTTCCCTTTTCTGTCTCACCTCCACTCCAACTCCCCTTTGCACCCTTCCTCTCCCCCTGTCTCTCTTCTTTCCTTTCTCCCTGTCTCACCCTTTCTCTCCTCTTCTATCCCTCCCTTCTCTCCTCTTCAATGCTTCGTGTCTGGAAGTTCCCAGGCCTTTCCGGGAGATGTTCTATATACTGCAGACCGCTTGTGGCAAGAACTGTTCCACAGAAGGTATCTCAGTTCGATTCCGAACTGCTTTTTTCTGCTTCCTTTTCCTTTCCTTCCTCTTTTATTTTACCCATGATTCACCTGTGCTTTTCCCATCATTCACAGTGTGCCCAGTGCTGCTCACGTTTTCTGAATTGGTTGGTTTGGAAAGGAAGGGGGCGGGGCAAGTAAAAGGTGTTTTTCCCTTACCAGAAGCTTGACCAGAGGATGTGTGTGGGTTTGTGTTTTGTGTGTGTGTTTGTGTGTTTTTACAAATTATTTGTAATGTACATCCCACACAGAAGCTCAACAGAGTGTGTATGTGTATGTTGGTGTGTCTGTGTGTGCTTCCAGCATTTATAATGTACATTGTCACGCTTTCTTTCAAGGTTAACATAAGTGATTTGTTTTAGGGAAATTCCTCGCTGTACTAAATTGGCTATCAGACCCTGTGGTCTCCCTTTATAGCAAAGCCCATAGCTGCTGCCATGGCAACGATCCCTGAGCGACCCTGGCGACAGCTTTGTCTAATGACCTGCTATATCATCAGTGTTAGGGGAAACATCACGCCCACCATCCCTGAGCTGTCAGCGACACACTCACAGAGGGGGAAACACACGCACAGGCACACACATGCAGAAACATGCACGGACACACACACACACTTACCCACACAAAACAATACACACACTCTTTTGTACACACACACACGCACACACACACACACACGTACAGACCCACACACACTACGTTATTACACCCCCCCCCCCTGACGACCCAATTAAGCGGATGGCTGGTTAGTGGGAGGTGTGGGAGTTGTGGGTCAGGGCAGAACACATGGTCACTTCGCCCCTGGTTAGAGAGAGTCTCTCACTGCAACTGTATGCTGCCACAGGCACCTCTCCAACCAGAGGAACCAACAGGGAGAGGATGGAGGGCGAGAGAAGGAGAGGAGAGGGGTAGGGATGGAGAGAGAGAAGGAGAGGAGAGGGGGTAGGGATGGAGAGAGAGAAGGAGAGGAGAGGGGTAGGGATGGAGAGAGAGAAGGAGAGGAGAGGGGTAGGGATGGAGAGAGAGAAGGAGAGGAGAGGGGTAGGGATGGAGAGAGAAGGAGAGGAGAGGGGTAGGGATGGAGAGAGAGGAGAGGAGAGGGGTAGGGATGGAGAGAGAGAAGGAGAGGAGAGGGGTAGGGATGGAGAGAGAGAAGGAGGGGGATAAAGATAGAGAGAGGGAAAGAGAAAGAGGACAGGAGAAAATGAGAGGGAGAGAAAGAGAGGGCCAGAGGGAAAAAGAGGTGGAAAGTAGAGAAGTAAAAGGAGAGAATTATTAAAGATGGAAGGAACAGAGGTCAGAGGAGAAAGAGAGGAGAAGAGGAGCTTCAGCGCTGAAAGGAAAGATGAAATGGAGGGCAGAGGAGAGTCTTGGATGAAAAAGAGAGAGGGGCTTAGTGAAAGGTAGAGAGAGAGAGAGAAAACGGAGGTGGTTCAGCCTCAGGGATGGATGGATTAGAGTGAAGAGATGGAGGGAGAGTGTTATAAGAAGGTGCCCAGGTGTGTGTGTGTGTGTGTGTGTGTGTGTGTGTGTGTGTGTGCTCAGGGGCCAGGTGAGAGTAGAGGGGCTAAACACTGTGATTCATTTACGGGCCAGACCCCCACAGCCAAGGCCATTATTCACCAGAAGACCACACACACACACACACACACACACACACACACATTCAGATACCAAATACATACACACAAGCATGTACAACCGCTTCCCGAATTCCCCCCACACATACTTTTTTGCACACGCCTAAATCTAAATCTATGCTCCCTCATCAAACACACACACACACACACACACACACACCACACAGACACACACACACACACTTAATTATGCACATGCACACACACACGTAAACACAGTACTGCCCAGAAAGTGTAACACAGCCGTTTGACTATCATTTAGCTGCTATTAAACCTCCTAAACATACACACACGCGCCGTCCAAACAGATGCTGTTTTAACCACTCAACGTTTGCTATGTCAACCACCCAGCCAACACATCCTATAAACACATCATCAAGTCGTCCTCTTATAGACGAGCCACCACAATCCTACGCTACATTCTGAGCAGCTGGATTCTATATATCAAGTCAATCCAGACAAAGCATGACCGTGATGATGATGCCAAATCAGTTTGATCCTATATCCCGGTACAGCCTATAAAAACCAATCCCAGAAATCCCAGACTTTCCACTCAGCCTACACAAACGATCACAGAACCTCCCAACTCACTCAATCAACCACGCACTATATTTTAGCCATTTTCTCAACCGACTGAAGCTAGTTAGCAAAGGCGTGGTTGTTGTCATGAACAGCGAACAGCATGACGTACTCATGAACAGTGAACAGCGTGACGTACTCATGAACAGCGTGACGTACTCAAGAACAGCAAACAGCGTGACGTACTCATGAACAGCGTGACGTACACATGAACAGCGTGACGTACTCATGAACAGCGTGACGTACTCATGAACAGCGTGACATACTCATGGACAGTGTGACATACTCATGGACAGCGTGACATACTCATGAACAGCGTGACATACTCATGGACAGCGTGACATACTCATGAACAGGGGAACGTACCTCATGGACAGTGTGACATACCTCATGGAAACAGCGTGGACGTACTCATGAACAGCGTGACGATACTCATGGGGACAGCGTGGGAACAGGTGACGTACTATGAACCAGCGTGATCATGACTCATGGACAGCGGATAATCATGGACAGGTGAAAATACTCAGGGACAGGTGGACGTACTCATGAACAGCGTTGACGTAACTCATGAACAGCGTGGACGTACTCATTGAACAGCGTGACCAACTCATTGGACAGCGTGACATACCTCATGAGGACAGCGTGACATAACTCCATGGACAAGCGTGGCAATACTCATGAACAGCGTGACATACCTCATGCAACCGCGTGACGTACTCATGAACAGCGTGACATACTCATGGACAGCGTGACATACTCATGAACAGCGTGACGTACTCATGAACAGCGTGACGTACTCATGAACAGCGTCACGTACTCATGAACAGTGTGGAACGTACTCACTGAACAGCGTGACGTACTGCAATGAAACAGCGTGGACGTACTCATGAACAGCGGGACGTACTCATGAACAGCTGTGACGTTACTCTATGAACAGCGTGACGTACTCATTAAGCAAGCGTTGACGTACTCATGGGACAGCGTGCCATTCTCATTGAACCAGAGTTGACATACTCATGGACAGCGTGACATACTCATGGACAGCGTGACGTACTCATGGACAGCGTGACGTACTCATGAACAGCGTGACGCTTGTTCTCGTGTCTCTCTTCTTTTGTTAATTTGCTTTGTTTCAACTGTTTACGCCAAACGCTAACCTCCCCTCCTCCTTCGTTGACAGGAAAATAGATATGGCCACCAGAGTGTTTTTAAGCACTGGAGCGGCTTCTCTTCCTAATCTGCATGGAGAGACTGAGTGAAGCAATTTTAGCGTTCAACAGAGGGTTTAATAACAGCCATGTCGAGGAGGGTTCGGTTTCCCCTCTATAATTTGGTGGAAGGGAACTGTTCTTTTTCCGGCTGCCCGGGTTACCGCCGTGCCAAACCTCACTGCCTCCTTCCCAGAAATTGAGCGTTTGGTTGGTTGGGTCATATAGGATGGATCCAGACAGACCGACAGACAGCCTTCTGAAGCTTCCATGGTTGGATTTTAATATTCTTAAATGGCTTATTTTTCATAATACTGTACACTTTCCTTTAGTGTCATGTATATTTCACTCCTCTAATGAGTGTAAATGAATCTGATACAGATATGATTCTAATCAGCATACTGAACAGTAAAAGCACTAGATTGCTGTTAGCAGGAGTGAAGGGAAAGACAGTGTCTTCCTTCCACTCACAACCTTTGAGGAAAGTTATTAGGACCACATCACTGGAGTTATAATGATTTAAGAGACAGATGATAGAGAACTGGAAGTGTTTATCCTAACCCAAGCACAAATAGGACACACACACACACACACACACACCCACCCACCCACCCATGGTTGAGTGGAGGAGTGTGATAGCCTTAGCTAGTGCTGGGCTGAGGTCATGGCTTTATTAGACAGAGACGCCGGGGAGGAATCCCTTTGAGTCTGCACCATGAGTACCACACACACACACATACGCTAGTGCACACACACACACACACACACACACACACACACACACACACACACACACACACACACACACACACACACACACACACATACTCATTCATATAGTATACACACAGGCATGCAGACAAGCAGACACATTCTCACATTCTCTTACCCTCACACACACACACACACACACACACACACACACACACACACACACATTCTCCGGACCCTTACACCACACCACCAAATTACCTTCACACACTCAGAGCTGTGAGTTGGGATCAGCGTGAGGCCAAAATGTCCATTTAAATCAATTAGGTACCAGAGATGAGGCTGTGGTTTAATTACAGCCAGTCTTAGTGGGCTCATTTCAGACTCGGGCCCGTTCACGGCTGGAGCTCCATTGACACGGGCTCTGTTAATTCAGTCTTTGAGGGCGCTGTTAATTCAGTCTTTCAGGGCTCTGTTAATTCAGTCTTTGAGGGCTCTCTTGTTTACTGGGTCTCTGTCTCTTAATTGTTATTTGCAGGAAGAGGAGGAAAGACTTCAGTTTGTCACAGTCTCGTTGGGTCTGTCTAAACCTAGTAATTACTCACAGATGGTTTGGAAGACACACACACACACACACACACACACACACACACACACACACACACACACACACACACACACACACACACACACACACACACTTGTATTTGTGATCCGAGTGATTGTGCATGCCCACTCCCTATTAGTTTATGTGTGTGCACTTTTGTGTGTAATGTTGTATTTGTGTGTGTTTGTGTTTATTTATGTATTCCCTGGCAGAGAGCCAGGAATCGTTCAGATCATACACTCCCCACAACACTGTCACACCCACAATTCAGTATGTTTCCCTGTTTTTCACTATCACAGACCCAAACACGTAAACCAGTCCCCCCTGTCTCTAACGCCCTCTGCTCTCTATCCCCCCCTCCTGGCCAGACGGTAACACTGACAGCCTGTTTGACATAGAGAAGGGCGTCGGCACCATCATCATCGCTAAGCCTCTGGACGCTGAGCAGCGCTCCTTCTACAACATGACTGTGGAGGTGACGGACGGGACCAACTCTGCAGCCACACAGGTACTGCAGCTGGGGACGCAACATATCATATCACTATTTCTTCTCAGAAAGAGCCAAATCTACTACCTGTACATGTTGATTTTGGCGTGCGTAAGTTAAAGTTAATGTGGGACTGTTAGTATTGTGTTCTGTAGCTTGCTACCACCTGTACATCTGAACACGCATAAATGCACCCTCACACACACCCTCACACACACCCTCATAAAGTACATGATAAACCACATACATGCTTCTAATAGTTACATTTGAAACCACATACACAGACCTTGCCTTCATGGACAGACGCTACACTCCCATGCCCAAGGACATTTATTTTTTTACTCTTCCATCAGCCATTTTGAAAAACGTCTTTAGATGGTGTGATGGATGGCGCCCGTCACATTGTCACATGAATGATGGCGTACGGCGTGTCAAGGACCTATCAGATTGATCGGAACACAGCTAGCGGTGATAACTAACGGTGCAATCGTCTCTCTCCTCCCCCGCGTCTAATTCCTCTGGTCAAGGACGTGGTGTGTACAGTGGACAATAGCGTCCCCCTGTCCTGTCCTGTCCTGTCCTGTCCTGTCCTGTTCCTTTGCACTGTTCAGGCTGTGGTTGAATGTTCCAAACAAAAAGGAACAAGATTGTTAGTGTGTAAACTGAGCTAGTGTGAAGATTCTTTATCAGTCTCTGTTTGAGTTAGGACTGTCATGTTGTAAAGTGGGTTGGATGCTATACAGTATGATGACAGAGAAATATCACAATTTAAATTGATAAGAAATATACCGGTACATCTTATTTCCCTTTCCTCTTTTAGAGGTCATGTCATGTACAATGTGTGTTCATTGTTTGTTAAATGCAGAAGGTGACTGTGGTGGAACAGGACACACACACACACACACACACACACACAAACACACAGTAGAAGGGATTAGCATTTTTATAGCGTGGAAGGGATTGCGCTGACATACGGAATGTGCTTTTGCACGACACCTTATAATCTCCCTGTGACAGTCCGTTTCATGCATATGTCACTCTACCTGTTCCCTCCATTGTCATTTTCAGGGCCAGTGCTTTTCAATACCCAGACATTAGTTGTGTGAAAAGGACAAATGCATACATATCATTTATATTCATATTTATTTTGTCATTTTGTCATATCCATCTGTCTGTCATGTTCCTACAGTGCATGGCAAAGTTTCTGTAAAGCATTCTGAGACAAGGTGACAGGGAAACTGGTTCCCTGGTGAAAATGATAGTATGCTGATACTGATAATGCTGTAGATTTAGATTAATATGAACACATTCTTACATTCACTCACATTACATTTTTCAATTTCCCCCCTCCCCCTCCCTCCCTCTTTCATCACTCTCTCTCTCCCTCTCCCTCTCCCTCTCCTCGTTCAGAATGATAGCTGGAGGGAAATGCAAATTAGCTTTACTGCTGTGTGCCCTGAAAGGGAGAGCCAACCCACTGCACACAGATGTCAATTCAACATCTATTCCTCGTTGGTTCAACGTCATTTCATTGAAATAACAGCGTTGATTCAACCAGTGTGTGCCCAGTGGGTATCCTCATTAAGTACAGATGTCTAATAGCTAGCTAGGGCACAGGAAGCCAAAAACATCCCCTCTCACCTACTCTACTCTCTATTCAGACTGAGTAACTGTTTCTGTCTCAGTTGGTCCATTAGGCCATGTCACACCCTGCGTGATGGTACCTGTTCACGATGTCCAAATCCCCTTGCTATTCATTCCAACACACACATATCACCGTTAAACAACTCCCCTTCCCTGCCTACCAACACACACACACACACACACACACACACACACACACACACACACACACACACACACACACACACACACACACATACAGTCCCTACACACCCCTGCAAGATGTGCTGACTAAATCCCAATGGGTGTTCAATACACCTCCCCGACTCTTGGAGAATGTACAACTGGTAAATAATCGCAGATATTTCAATCAGATGTCTAGCTAGCTAGGTAACTCAAGGGCTCTGGCTATTAGCCAGGTAGCTAGCTATAACTAGCTGGCTAGAAGGATGAAGTTAGAAGCTAACGTTGAACGGAGCCTGACCTCAGCAGGAGCAGTTGACTGAAATTAAGCTAGCTATAATCAAAAGATGGGCTACTATAAGTTACCATAACAAAATACCTTTTCTTTATCGAGAGTAGTGAGACAGCTGCAACATCAAGAGCATCCTGACTGGTTGCATCACCGCCTGGTATGGCAACTGCTCGGCCTCCGACCGCAAGGCGCTACAGAGGATAGTGCGTACGGCTCAGTACATCACTGGGGCCAAGCTTCCTGCCATCCAGGACCTCTATACCAGAGGAAGGCCCTAAAAATGGACAAAGACTCCAGCCACCCTAGTCATAGACTGTTCTCTCTGCTACCGCACGGCAAGCGGTACCGAAGCACCAAGTCTAGGTCCAAAAGGCTTCTCAACAGCTTCTACCCCCAAGCCATAAGACTGCTGAACAGTTAATCAAATGGCTACCTGGACTCTTTGCATTTTTACGCTGCTGTCACGACTTCCTCCGAAGCTGCCTCCTCTCCTTGTTCGGGCAAGGTTCGGTGTTCGTCGTCACCGGCCTTCTAGTCCACTGCCACTCCTCATCTCATAATTCCATTTGTTTTGTCTTGTTTATTACACACACCTGGTTCATATCTCCTCATCAGTTCCTGTTCCCTCTGCCCCCTTGTCTTTGTGTGTGATTGTTTATTGTGGAGGAGAGAGAAGCTCAGTGGAGCTCCGTGTATTTTGTATCTCTGGGAATATTCCCCGTGTGCCTTGTATTTTCCAGTGCGCCTGGAGCGTTTTGACGCATTACTGCGTAACTCTGTGGTTCAGAATAAATCCTGTTATTCTGTGATTTACCCTCCTGCGCCTGACTCCTTCAAATCACCTCATCACAGCTGCTGCTACTCGCTGTTTATTATCTATGCATAGTCACTTTACCCCTACCTACATGTGCATATTACCTCAATTACCTCGACAAACCTGTACCCCCGCACATTGACTCGGTACCGGCAGCCCCTGTATATAGCCTCGTTATTGTTATTTTATTGTTGCTCTTATATTTTTTACTTCAGTTTATTTAGTAAATATTTGTCTTAACTCTTATTTTTCTTAAAACTCCATTGTTGGTTAATGACTTGTAAGTAAGCATTTCACGATAAGGTCTACTACACCTGTTGTATTCGGCGCATGTGACAAATACAATTTGATTTGAGACAGTGGTGAGTCAGGCTGCAATGAAGGAGGCAAAGGAGATACACAGAGAGAGGAAGCATTGAAGCAAGCAGGGAGAGAGGTTGGTAGTAGAGTGGTTCCCAAACTTGGGGTCCGGGACCCATGTGGGGTCCCCTAAAATGTAAAAAGGGTCCCCTGAGAGAGTCTTTAATCTTATCAAACACATTAATAACTTGTTTCTCTTCAAATGGGTATAGAATACAACATTTTAGAGTCAACTAAAGGCCTTTTACTCTGTCAGAATACACTTTCATGTCATTATGTGTTGGGACAGCCTGTGGGACACAAAATGTAGTAAAATACGGTATAAAGACAATTTAAATATAAAGACAATTTAATATTATGTACACTGAACAAAAATATAAACGCAACATGCAACAATTTCAAAGGTTTTACTGAGTTATAGTTCATATAAGGAAATCAGTCAACATCATCAGTCCTGACTTACCACTCATGTATGTAGTAAAGAAGTAGTGAAACGCGTATTATTGAGTAGAACTTGTAAGGTAGTGATGAATATTAAGTTAGTTGGGTTTTTTCATGAGGTTGTGGCGGTATACTGCTATCTGTTGGCGAATAGAAACAATTGCATAATAGGAACTATTACAAATTGGTGGTCCTTGAAAATCAATATTAGTGCTTGAAAAAATACTTGAAAGTCCTTGAATTTGACTTGCCACTGTCTGTACGAACCCTGAAACACACACATACACACTTATCCCCCCGGCCCACACACACACACCTGTAAGACGTGCTGACAGTAGTGCCAGTCGCAAGAGGCTGTGCTGAGTTCCCTTCTTCAACATCACAGATGGAGGCTCAGCGTGACGCCCAATGGGGGAAATCTCCACTGTTCACCGGCAGGAAGACAGCTGTTGCTCCTGTCTTATATTTAGTCTTCCCTGCTGTCGGCCTTCCTATATACCTTACTCCCTTCTTACGCAACACAACCGCCTTTGTTATCGGCGGCGGTTTCCATGAGTCATCAACCGTCAAAACAGTACATGACACGCAACAAGCACGTCAGCAAACATATGTCTCGACTGGTTGTATATAAATACATTAACTGCAAAAACGTCTTATTCACATAATAGTTGTGACAGACTTGCAAATATGCACTGTATGACACGGAACTGAATATAGTATCTGACCGACTGTATATGTTATGGCCTACCCTTCACTCCCACTGAAGACTGAAGACAAAAATGTTTGTGTGTTGTAGTACTACGACATATTGGCCTAACCCTACCCACAACCACCCTCTCTCCTTCTCCTCTCCAGGTCCACATCACAGTGTTGGACAACAACGACAACGCGCCCGTCTTCTCCCAGCCCACCTATGACATCACCATCTCTGAGGACACGCACCCGGAGACGGAGGTGGTCCAGGTGTTAGCGTCGGACCGTGACGAGCGCCACCGCCTCACCTACTCCCTCCACAGCTCCATCGACCCCTCCAGCCTGCGTCTGTTTCCGTATTGACCCCAACACTGGCACGGTGTATACTACAGAGAGACTGGACCATGAGGCTAAAGCACAGCACATCCTCACTGTCATGGTGAGAGAGTGAGACCGTTACTGTAGGGGTGGCAATGGATTCTATCAAATAAGATTAGGTTACCTTGAATCTCATTGTAAGGGAGTATGACATTTGCATTATTTGGTCAGATTCTCTTAAGATTCTGCATGAAAAAGCCCTCCGTTGGTCATGGATGTGTTGAAGCTGTCAGAGGAGTAGAGGAGAGATGAGGAGAGGAGAGGAGAGGAGAGGAGAGGAGAGGAGAGGAGAGGAGAGGAGAGGAGAGGAGAGGAGAGGAGAGGAGAGGAGAGGAGAGGAGAGGAGAGGAGAGGAGAGGAGAGGAGAGGAGAGAAAAGACAGTAGAGATGCAACTTAATATTCTAATGTAACTCAGCTCTCCTGCCAGAGGCAGACTACTCCTGTCTGTGTTCTCATTTACCTGAGCTCATCATTCAGCAACTACACTAATTACTGAGAGCAATGAACCAACGTCTCACCCTCGTCAGGGGAATGAGACAGTTTTAGAAACTGTGTGTGTGTGTGTGGAGTCTGAGTGTGTATGTGTGTGTGTGTGTGTGTGTGTGTGTGTGTGTGTGTGTGTGTGTGTGTGGTGTGTGTGTGTGTGTGTGTGTGTGTGTGTGAAGTCTGACTGTGTGTGTGTGTGTGTGTGTGTGTTTGTGGGAGTCTGAGTCTGAGTGTGTGTGTGTGTGGTGTGTGTGTGTGTGTGTGTGTGTGTGTGTGTGTGTGTGTGTGTGTGTGTGTGTGTGTGTGTGTGTGTGTGTGTGTGGAGTCAAACTGTGTTTGTGTGTGTGTGTGTGTGTAGTTCTGAAATGAATCATCCTCATTCACTCTGTTTTACTTCATTTCCTCTGGTTCAGTGGATAGCAAAAATAGGTAACGACTGCTCATCCTACCACTGTAGTCGTATTGTTTTAATGTCAAATCGGGAAATGTAATTATCATTTTGAAGTGAGGTAGGAACTTCTGCCTGACATTTTTTATGAGGGAAAATGTTTCAGTTTGAGGCAGGGGCTCTGATTTAATTTGGTAGAATCCACAGGTAGATAGTATCTTTAATATCTGGCATTCGGTTTGCCCATGACAGTGCCTGCTGTGCTGGAACCAGGTATGTTTGTGCATCTGTATAGGCTACAATATGATCAGTATCTCATAATTATAACATATTCCTGCACTAAAGAGATGAGGTCTAACAATATAAATATAAATTGACTACGCATAACCACTACAGAATCCAAGATAACGATCCCCAAACAGAGTATTGACTATGCATAACCACTACAGAATCCAAGATAACGATCCCCAAACAGAGTATTGACTACGCATAACCACTACAGAATCCAAGATAACGATCCCCAAACAGAGTATTGACTACGCATAACCACTACAGAATCCAAGATAACGATCCCCAAACAGAGTATTGACTACACATAACCACTACAGAATCCAAGATAACGATCCCAAACAGAGTATTGACTACGCATAACCACTACAAAATCCAAGATAACTTTCCCCAAACAGAGTATTGACTACGCATAACCACTACAGAATCCAAGATAACTTTCCCCAAACAGAGTATTGACTATACATAATCACTACAGAGTCCAAGATAGCACATGTAACAGTTTTGGGTATTGTGCGTAGCTGCTTTGATTAATAGAAAGACCGAGCCACAATGACGCTCCTATTACCCTGAGCCTCAGGCGTACGTAAACACAGACAGAACAGACACAGAACAACTCTATTGTCTCCAATGGACCCAGTGATCTTCCTCCTAACACTTCCTCAGTACCATAATACCCTTCAGTCTAGGGCTATTATGCCACTCATAGGCCCATTGGGTTGTGTTAAGAGTGTTGGACTAGCCAGCGTTTCGTAATACCGGCAGCAGCAGCTAGCGCTAATTCTGATGCTAATGCTGGTTGTATTAATACTCACCCTGTGTGGCGCCTCGCGAGACAGGCTTTGTCTTGTTGTGGAGAGTCTCGCATAAATATCCATCTCATTAGCCCATTATCTGCACTCCATCCCAAAAGACCCTTAACGTTTTGCTGTGACACTCCCTTTTCATTTCATGGGGAAGTTAAAGCTCCAGTAAATGTTTTAAAGGGAAACTCGAAGTAATGTGTGTCCTATTGATTCATTGCCGTAACATAGAAAGTTATTTTGTAATAGGCAAGTGTTCATTTTGCCTCATGCCGGTTATATAATGAGAAGTGTTATTGTGTCAGATAATACTATACACCTGCATTAGTAGACCAATGATTAGAATAATTTTTCTCCCTTAGGTAAAAGACCAGGAGTTTCCATACAGGAGGAACCTGGCCCGAGTGTTGGTGGATGTGGAGGATGTTAATGACCATGTCCCAGTGTTCACCAGTGCTCTGTACGAAGGTTCGGTCTATGAGTCTGCAGCAGTGGGGTCTGCTGTGCTCCAGGTGACTGCCCTGGACAAAGACAAAGGAGAGAACGCAGAACTCCTCTATGCCATGGAATCAGGTGAGCAACTATAGAAATGGCATTGTATTTAAACAATATGGCCCGAGGAGGTGTGGTATATGGCCAATATACCACGGCTAAAGGCTGTTCTTAGCACCAAACAACGTGGCGTGCCTGGACACAGCCCTTAGCCGTGGTATATTGTACATACAGTGCCTTCGGAAAGTATTCAAACCCCTTCCCTTTTTCCACATTTTGTTATGTTACAGCCTTATTCTAAAATAGATAAAATAATGTTTTTCCCTCATCAATCTACACACAATACCCCATAATGACAAAGCTAAAACAGGTTTTTAGAAATGTTTGCAAATCTATTAAGAATAGAAAACTTAAATATCTTATTTACATAACTATTCAGACCCTTTGCTATGAGACTCAAAATTGAGCTCAGGTACATCCTGCTTGATCATCCTTGAGATGTTTCTACAACTTGATTGAAGTCTAACTGTGGTAAATTCAATTGATTGGACATGATTTGGAAAGGCACATACCTGTCTATATAAGGTCCCACAGTTGACAGTGCATGTCAGAGCAAAAACCAAGCCATGAGGTCGAAGGAATCCAAAGTTCCTCTGTGAATATGGGAGAACCTTCCAGAAGGACAACCATCTCTGCAGCACTCCACCAATCAGGACTTTATGGTAGAGTGGCCAGATGGAAGCCACTCCTCAGTAAAAGGCACATGACAGCCCACTTGGAGTTTGCCAAAAGGCACCTAAAGAACTATCAGACCATGAGAAATAAAATTATCTTGTCTGATGAAACCAAGATTGAACTCTTTGGCCTGAATGCCAAGTGTCACGTCTGGTGGCAGCATCATGCTGTGGGGATGTTTTTCAGCAGCAGGGACTGGGAGACTAGTCAGGATCGAGGGAAAGATGAACGAAGCAAAGTACAGAGATATCCTTGATGAAAACCTGCTCCAGAGCGCTCATGACCTCAGACTGAGGCAATGGTGGATTCGGGACAAGTCTCTGAATGTCCTTGAGTGGCCCAGCCGGAGCCCGGACTTGAACCCGATCTAACATTTCTAGAGAGACCTGAAAATAGCTGTGCATCAACGCTCCCCATCCAACCTGACAGAGCTTGAGAGGATCTGCAGAGAATAATGGGAAAAACTCCCCAAATACAGGTGTGCCAAGCTTGTAGCGTCATACCCAAGAAGACTTGAGGCTGTAACCACTGCCAAAGGATCTGAATACTTATGTAAATGTGGTATTTCAGTTGTTGTTGTTTTTTTTATAAATGTGCAAACATTTCTAAAAACCTGTTTTTGCTTTGTCATTATGGGGTACTGTGTGTAGATTGATGAGAAAAAGCAACAATTTAATCAATTTTAGAACAAGGCTGTAATGTAAGAAAATGTGGAAAAAGTCAAGGGGTCTGAATACTTTCCGAATACACTGTATATCACAAACCTCTCAGGAGCCTTATTGCTATTATAAACTGGTTACCAAAGTAATTAGAGCAGTAAAAATAAATGTTTTGTCATACCCGTGGTATACCGTCTGATATGGTAGCCAATCAGCTTCCAGTGCTCTGTCCACCCAGTTTATATTAAGAGTTTTAGAACTATCAAAATAATAAGGTGTGTCTAACTATACAAAGACCATGGGTCTCCAACGTTTTCTAGCATGAGAGCTACTTAGAAAAAATGACACATGGTGCGAGCGAATTTTTTATTTTCTAGCTTTCAAATAGGCACATTCTTCTCTTCTCCTCTCCCATGCAACTCTTCCCCAGGTCCTTAGAGAGAAAGTAGTGCACTATGTGTTCTGTCAATAGACCTGGTAAAATAATGGTTAATAAACAACTCTAAGGGGGCCCTATAAAATCTGCTATTTTTTTCCAGAATTCTGTTAGATTCTTCCTAAATTGTTTTTTCTCAGTTGTATTTTTCCTGGTTATAGATTTATAAATGTTTTACTTTCAAAATTACAATTGTTCATAGAGAAACAATCAAATTGAATGTTCTGAGTCCATGTCATGCTTATATCACATCAGAAGACAATTTTATTTAGGTCTGGAAGAAAACAAACACATTTATTTTGGAGTGTAATTTAGTTGCGCATCTGGCCCTATAATTGCCGTCTACTGTGAGGAATGTGCCGGTCTAGCGATGGTTCTGTACCGCTACTGCTCATTTCATGGCAAAGTTAGCAAATAACAAATAATAGATACAAATTATATACTTCCTCATTAGATACTTCTGCCAGGTAAGCCTACTTTGCAGTTAACATTTAATTTAGAAGGTTTTGGGGAAAGTAGGCCTATTTCTGTCAACCTACAAGACGGTTATCACATCAACTGGCTACACACGGAGTGAGGAGTGATAGACATACGCGCGCACCACACAGACAGACAAGGATAATATTGCTGGAAATTAATTGGAAGATATTTTGTTAGGTTTGGCTTTTTAAGCCAATGGTTGCTAACCAGGGTTGGGATAATGACAATATTGCATTGATTAGATAGTAGCTGGGAGCTTGCGGTGTCTGATACTTGTGAGATTTGTTTATGACAGTTTGAGGTGGGAAAACGTGAAAATGTAATCTACTTTCAGAATTGTTTGGCAAGTTACTCATAGGTGAGCTTCGAGCTACCTGTTGGAGACCCCAGATATAGACAGTATATCGATAATAGATTACAATATACAAACAGTTTATATAGATTTAGATGCACTAGTTTTTATCACTGAATATTCGTTCTTATGTCTGTTTTCCTTTAGGCAACACAGGGAACACGTTCCGGATTGAGCCGGTTCTGGGGATCATCTCTGTGGCCCGCGAGCTCGACCTCTCTACCATCGGCTATTACGTCATTACCGTCAGAGTCACCGACAACGGCTCCCCGCCTCTCTCTGCCACCTCTGTGGTTCGCATCGCCGTCACGCTCTCCGACAACGCCGGACCCAAGTTCCCCCAGACTGAGTACCAGGCCGAGATCACAGAGAACGTTGCCGTGGGAACCTCTGTCACCACAGTGAGCGCCATGAGCCAATCCACGCTGACCTACGACATTCGACATGGCAACAACGAACGCACCTTCAGGATCAACCAGTATAGTGGTGTGATCACAACTCAGAAACCCTTGGACTACGAGACCACAGCATCTTACAACCTGATTGTCCAGGCTACCAACATGGCTGGCATGACCTCCAATGCCACCCTGCTCATACGGGTGGTGGATGAAAACGACAACCCACCTGTGTTCCAGCTGCTGCGCTACCAGGGTAGTATCAGCGAGGCGGCGCCCATCAACAGCGTGGTGCTGAACCCAGACAACACTCCTCTGGTCATCAAGGCCACTGATGCTGACCGCAACCAGAATGCTCTCCTGGTCTATCAGATCGTTGAGGACACAGCCAATATGTTCTTTACAGTGGATTCTGGCACCGGCTCCATCAGGACAATCGCCAACCTGGACCACGAGACGTTTGCTAGTTTTAACTTTCATGTTCATGTGAGGGACAGTGGGAGGCCTCAGCTGACGGCGGATAGCCCCACCGAGGTCACCATCCAGGTGATCGACACAAATGACTCTCCACCTCGCTTCACCCAGGACGCCTATGAAACTGTCCTTCTGCTGCCCACTTATGTCGGAGTGGAGGCATTACAGGTCTCAGCTATGGACCCAGACCAAAACGTCCCAACAGAGCTCACCTACTCACTGACAGACGGCAACCTGGAGCACTTTGCCATCCAGCCCTCCAGCGGCATCATCACCGTCAAAAACAACAACTTCTCTAAGGAACGCTTCCGCTTCAACGTCAAAGTGTCAGACGGGAAGTTCTACAGCACTGCTCTAGTCACTGTCCTGGTCCGTGAGACACTGGACTCTGGCCTCTTCTTCATCCACAGCCTCTACTCCTCGTCCATCCAGGAGAACAATAGCAACATCACCAAAGTGGCCGTGGTCAATGCAGTGGGGAATCGCCTCAACGAGCCCCTCAGGTACACCCTACTGAATCCTGGGATACGCTTCCGGATCCGACCCACCTCTGGGGTAATCCAGACCACTGGGGTTCCCTTCGACCGTGAGGAGCAGGAGTTCTATGAGCTGGTGGTGGAGGCTGGGAGGGAGCACGACCATCTGCGTGTTGCCAGGGTGATGGTCAGGGTGCAGGTAGAGGACATTAACGACAACGCTCCTGTGTTCGTGGGACTACCGTATTACGCTGCTGTCCAAGTGGAGGCCGAACCTGGTGCGCCCATATTCCGAGTCACCGCCGTGGACCGTGACAAAGGCATCAACGGAGAGGTATCCTACTACCTCAAAGACGACCACGGACACTTTGAGATTGACAGGCTGACGGGCGGCCTCCATCTGAAGAAGGCTTTTGAGTCTGACCTGTCCAACCAGGAGTACCAGATGGTAGTTTACACCAAGGACGGAGGTTACCCTCCTCTTTCCTCCACCTTAGAGTTCCCCATCACCGTGGTGAACAAGGCCATGCCCGTCTTTGACAAGTCCTTCTATGCAGTGTCGGTGAACGAGGACGTAGCTGTACACACGCCCATATTAGGAATCAACGCCACCAGCCCTGAGGGCCAGAACATAATCTACACCATCGTGGAGGGAGACCCCTCTCTGCAGTTCGACATCGGCTTTGACACCGGAGTCATCAGAGTCATCAACTCCCTGGACTATGAGATCGCCCCATCCTTCCGTCTGACCGTCAGAGCCACAGACTACCTGACTGGCGCCCGTGCTGAGGTGGACGTAGATGTCACAGTTAATGACGTCAATGATAACCCTCCGGTGTTTGAGAAAATGTCCTATAAGGCAGTTCTGTCTGAGACTGCCATGATCGGCACTCCTGCGCTCCAAGTGGTGGCTACCGACAAAGATTCTGAGAAGAACAACATTGTACGGTATCAGATCTTCTACCCCACAGATGCCTACAACAGCACCGACCACTTCCACATCGACAGCAGCAGCGGCCTCATCCTGACCGCCCGCATGCTCGACCACGAGCTGGTACAGCGCTACGACTTCATTGTCAGGGCAACTGATAACGGCTTCCCACCGCTGAGCAGTGAAGTGTCGGTCACGGTGGTGGTGAATGACATGAACGACAACCCTCCGGTGTTCAACCAGCTTCTCTACGAGGCCTATGTCAGCGAGCTGGCCCCTAGGGGCCATTTTGTGACCTGCATCCAGGCTTCGGATGCTGACAGCTCCGACTATGACAAACTGGAGTACAGCATCCTGTCAGGAAACGAGAGGATGAACTTTGTGATGGATGGTAAGACGGGTATCATCACGCTGTCTGGTCACAGGAAGCAGAGAATGGAGCCAGCCTACAGTCTGAATGTATCCGTCTCTGATGGGGTGTTCACCAGCACGGCCCAGGTGCACGTCAGGGTCCTGGGGGCCAACCTCTACAGCCCTGTGTTTGGACTGAATGCCTACGATGCAGAGGTACGGGAGAATGCAGCGGTAGGAACCAAGGTGATCCAGGTAAGAGCCATTCATTTTAAAGTATTCAGCTTCTGAACATGAATTGAAATAATGATATGTATTTTATTTAATGAAGTTTTGATGCACATGATACTGTATTTGTAATAGTATTTGTAATATGTTTTATTTGACATGTTTACTATGTGCAATACCTAAAATAAAGTAATTTAACTATTATTACCAGGTGAGGGCGACCGATGCTGACCCAGGAGTGTTTGGCCAGATTACCTACTCATTCGTCAACGACGTGGGCAAGGACCAGTTCAGTGTGGACGCCAACGGTCAGATCACCACCCTGGAGAAGCTGGACAGAGAGGACCCTGCCAACAAGGACATTGTCCTCACAGTGGCAGCCCAGGACGGGGGTGGAAGGGCCTCCTACTGCACCGTCCGGGTCTCCCTGCTGGATGACAACGACAACGTCCCTCGCTTCAGAGCTACGGAATACCGTGCTTCCGTCAAATCCGACGTGGGCAAGGGCTTCCTGGTGACCCAGATCCAGGCGTATGATCCTGATGACGGTGCTAACTCTAAGGTGACATACTCGCTCTACAGCGAGGCGCACGCACCCGTGGTGGATATGTTAGAGATCGACCCTGACAACGGCTGGATGGTCACCAAGGGGAGTTTCAGCCACCTGCGCAACTCAGTCCTGTCTTTCTTTGTCAAAGCAGTAGATGGAGGCATCCCTGTTAAGCACTCTTTAGTATCAGTCTACATCCACGTCTTGGCACCTGACGCCCTCATTCCCTCCTTCACCCAACCCCAGTTCTCCTTTACAGTCCCAGAGGACACCCCTATAGGAGCTGCCCTAGGGTCCATCCGCCTCATCACCCCACCAGGCTACGGCTCGCTGCCAGTCACCTTTGCTCTGGTCAACGGAGAGACTGGCGAGAACAACCAGGATGGAGTCCTGGTGGTGGACAGGGACACTGGGGTCATCAAGCTGGACAAGCCCCTGGACCACGAGGTCATCACCGCCTTCCACTTCAAGGTCATGGCCACTGTTCAGCAGGCCAAGCTGGACTCTGTGACCAGCGTCGACGTAGAAGTCAAAGTCCTGGATCTGAACGACAACAAGCCAGCATTTGAATCCAACTCCTATGAGGCGACAGTGATGGAAGGGATGCCTATCGGCACCATGATCATCCAGGTTCAGGCTCTGGACCCAGACTCTGGAGCCAACGGACAGGTTACATACAGCCTAGTCACGTTGGCGCAATCCGAAGATGAGCCGGACCAATCCACAGAGACCTTCACCATTGACAGCAACACGGGCTGGATCTCTACTCTCAAGGAGTTGGACCACGAGATGTATCCGTCCTACGCCTTCCTGGTGGTGGCCTCAGACCTGGGGGAGACCCTGGCCCTCTCCTCCACCTCCACGGTGACCGTGGCCGTGTCTGACATCAACGACAACCCACCCAGCTTCCTGGATGAGAGGTACTGGGGCTCAGTGCGCGAGAGCGACCCCCCTGGTGAGGTGGTGGCGGTGCTCAACACTAGAGACAACGACAGCTCTGCAGTGAACCGCCAAGTCAGCTATCACATCACAGGTGAGTCAGAGAATGGGAGTGTGTGTGTGTGTTATTAATGTGTTTAGCTGTCTGTCCTCTTTATGCATCTTAATATGTCTCACTGTCTGTCTTTTAACTTGTCTTCTGACCCCCTGTCTCACTCACTGACTGTCTGTTTAAAAAATATATATATATATTTAACCTTTATTTAACCAGGTAAACCAGTTGAGAACAAGTTCTCATTTACAACTGCGACCTGGCCAAGATAAAGCAAAGCAGTGTGATTAAAACAACAACACAGAGTTACATATGGGGTAAAACAAAACATAAAGTCAAAAATACAACAGAAAAAATATATATATACAGTGTGTGCAAATGTAGCAAGTTATGGAGGTAAGGCAATAAATAGGTCATAGTGCAAAATAATTACAATTAGTATTAACACTGGAATGATAGATGTGCAAGAGATGATGTGCAAATAGAGATAATGGGGTGCAAATGTGGGCTAATTTCAGATGGGCTGTGTACATGTGCAGTGATCGGTAAGTTGCTCTGACAACTGATGCTTAAAGTTAGTGAGGGAGATAAGAGTCTCCAGCTTCAGAGATTTTTGCAGTTCGTTCCAGTCATTGGCAGCAGAGAACTGGAAGGAATGGCGGCCAAAGGAGGTGTTGGCTTTGGGGATGACCAGTGAGATATACCTGCTGGAGCGCATACTACGGGTGGGTGTTGCTATGGTGACCAATGAGCTAAGATAAGGCAGGGATTTGCCTAGCAGTGATTTATAGATGGCCTGGAGCCAGTGGGTTTGGCGCCGAATATGTAGTGAGGACCAGCCAACAAGAGCGTACAGGTCACAGTGGTGGGTAGTATATGGGGCTTTGGTGACAAAACGGATGGCACTGTGATAGACTACATCCAATTTGCTGAGTAGAGTGTTGGAGGCTATTTTGTAAATGACATCGCCGAAGTCAAGGATCGGTAGGATAGTCAGTTTTGTTGCGAAATAGGAAGCCGATTCTAGATTTACCTTTGGATTGGCGATGCTTAATGTGAGTCTGGAAGGAGAGTTTACAGTCTAACCAGACACCTAGGTATTTGTAGGTGTCCACATACTCTAGGTCAGACCCTTCGAGAGTAGTGATTCTAGTCGGGTGGGCGGGTGCCAGCAGCGTTCGATTGAAGAGGATGCATTTAGTTTTACTTGTGTTTAAGAGCAGTTGGAGGCTACGGAAGGAGTGTTGTATGGCATTGAAGCTTGTTTGGAGGTTTGTTAACACAGTGTCCAATGAAGGGCCAGATGTATACAAAATGGTGTCGTCTGCTTAGAGGTGGATCTGAGAATCACCAGCAGCAAGAGCGACAACATTGATATACACAGAGAAAAGAGTCGGCCCAAGAATTAAACCCTGTGGCACCCCCATAGAGACTGCCAGAGGTCCAGACAACAGGCCCTCCGATTTTACACATTGAACTCTATCTGATAAGTAGTTGGTGAACCAGGCGAGGCAGTCATTTGTGAAACCAAGGCTATTTAGTCTGCCAATAAAAATGTGGTGGTTGACAGAGTCGAAAGCCTTGGCCAGGTCGATGAAGACGGCCGCACAGTACTGTCTATCAGCTGTCTGAATTTGTGTGAAGGAGAAGCAGGGGGGGGGGGGGGGCGGGGGGGCTATTCGTATATCCGTATATTCGTATACTGCTTGTGAATATTGGTTCCTAACTTCCCTGAAAAGTTGCATATCGCGGGGGCTATTCGATGCTAATGTTTTTGTGCTGGTCAAGGGCAGTCAAGTCTGAGGAGAACCAGGGCTATATCTGTTCTTAGTTCTGAATTTTTTTGAATGGGGGCATGCTTATTTAAGATTGAAAGGAAAGCACTTTTTAAAGAACAACCAGGCATTCTCTACTGACGGAATGAGATCGATATCCATCCAGGATACCTGGGCAAGGTCAATTAGGAAGGCCTGCTCGCTAAAGTGTTTTAGGGACCGTTTGACAGTGATGAGGGGTGGTCGTTTGACAGTGGACCCATTACGGACGCAGGCAATAAGGCAGTGATCGCTGAGATCCTGGTTGAAGACAACGGAGGTGTATTTAGAGGGTAAGTTAGTCAGGATGATATCTATAAGGGTGCCCATGTTTACGGATTTAGGGTTGTACCTGGTAGGTTCCTTGATAATTTGTGTGAGATTGAGGGCATCTAGTTTGGATTGTAGGATGGCCGGGGTGTTAAGCATATCCCAGTTTAGGTCACCACTCTGAGGATAGATGGGGGCAATAGATGGGGGGAAATCAATTCACATATGGTGTCCAGGGCACAGCTGGGGGCTGAGGGGGGTCTGTAGGAAGCGGCAACAGTGAGAGACTTATTTCTGGAAAGGTGGCTTTTTAGAAGTAGGAGCTCAAACTGTTTGGGCCCAGACCTGGATAGTATGATAGAGCTCTGCAGGCTATCTCTACAGTAGATTGCAACTTCACCCCCTTTGGCAGTTCTATCTAGACGGAACATTTTGTAGTTGGGGATGGACATTTCTGAATTTTTGGTGGCCTTCCTAAGCCAGGATTCAGACACTGCTAGAACATCAGGGTTGGCGGAGTGTGCTAACACAGTGAATAACTCAAACGTAGGGAGGAGGCTTCTGATGTTAACATGCAAAAAAACAATGCTTTTACGGTTACAGAAGTCAACAAATGATAGCTCCTGGGGAGTAGGAGTGATACTGGGGGTTGCAGGGCCAGGGTTAACCTCTACATCACCAGAGGAACAGAGGAGGAATATAATAAGGATACGGCTAAAGGCTTTAAGAACTGGTCTTCTAGTGCGTTGGGTAGAGAGAATAAAGGGGGCAGATTTCCGGGCGTTGTAGAATAGATTCAGGGCATTATGTAAAGACAAGGATATGGAAGGATATGAGTACAGTGGAGGTAAACCTAAGCGTTGGGTAACAATGAAAGAGATAGCATCACTGGAGGCACCGATTGAGCTGGTCTCCTCGTGTATGGGGGGTGAAACAAAGGAGCTATTTGAGGCATTTTGAGAGGGACTTGGGGCTCTACAGTGAAATTGTATAATAAGAACTAACTGGAACAGCAATAGGCAAGGCATATTGACATGGGAGAGAGGCATAAAGCAATCACAGGTGTTATTCGAGAGAGCTAAGACAACAACTGGTAATGGCGATGAAAGTTTGGGCTGAGGCTAAACAGATAAACAGGACAGGGTACCGTGTAAAGGAACAGTCCAGCAGGCATCAGCTGTACAGCTGAGTGATCATAAGGTCCAGTGAACAGCAATATGTGAGTCCGAGAGCAGTTCGAATTGGTGCCACAGCGAGCAGGAAGCACGGCTGTTGTTTGCGTGTGCTAGCGGGCCGGGGCTAGCAGATGGATCTTCGTGGTCGTCGCAACGGGAAGCCTGTTGAAACCACAGACGATTACGTCGGCAGACCAGTCGTGATGGATCGGCGGGGCTCCGTGTTGACTCTAGGAGGTCCCGTCCGGTTGACAGAGAGGTAGATAGCCGGGAGATGGGCCTGACTCGAGGCTAGCTCAAGGCTGATTAGCCAACAGGAGGTCCCGTCCGGTTGACAGAGAGGTAGATAGCTGGGAGATGGGCCTGACTTGAGGCTAGCTCAAGGCTGATTAGCCAACAACAACATCCATTTGGTTGCAGCTAGCTAGTTGCGATGATCCGGTGTTAAAGGTCCAGTGATTCAGTGATTCCGGCAGAAAATCTGGGTCGATAACGCGCTGTGCAGACAGTGCAGACTGGGCCGATAATAGTCCAGGCTAGAGCTGGCTGGTAGGTAGTGCAGGCCACGGACAATGGTGAAAAACCGCTAACGGTGGACTAATAGCAAGTAGCTAGTTAGCTGGCTACTCCCGTCCGGTAGACAGAGAGGTAGATAGCCGGGATATGGGCCTGGCTCGAGGCTAGCTCAAGGCTAACTGGTGCTTGCTTCCGGGGCAGTGGTGATTAGCCAACAGCAACATCCATTCGGTTGTGGCTAGCTAGTTGCGATCCGGTGTTAATGTCCAGTGATTCAGTTATTCCGGCAGAAAATCCGATGTTCTGGGTGAAAACCGCTAACGGTGGCTAATAGCAAGTAGCTAGTTAGCTGGCTAGCTAGCTAGTTTAAACTGGAGATTCTAGATAAAAGGTAAGCCAATAATAGAATCTGTTCCACATTGAGTGAGGCGGGTTGCAGGAAAGTATATTTAGTAGAAGGATGAAAAGTGTGATAGGGAAATATGTACGAAAAATACAAAAAAAATACAAAAAAGAGGCTATTTACACGGACACACAACAGAGTACACGACCGCACTGCTACGCCATCTTGGAAGATGTCTGCTTCTCTACCTTCATATTGGCTATCTCTATCTGTCTGTCTCTGTCTCCCTGTCTCACTTCACTGCCTGCCTCTCTTTCTATCTGTCTGTCTGTATCTGTCTGTCTGTCTGTATCTCTGTCTGTCTGTCTATCTGTGTGTCTCTATCTGTTTGTCTTGTCTGTCTGTCTGTCTGTCTGTACCACTGTCTGACTCCTTGTTTACTTAAGATAAACACTTCATTTGTATGCTGCCTGGCTCATCTCCAAACATCACAACAACGCTTGTGAATAAACAAGAGGGAAACTCATAACAATAAATGAAGGATGAGGCATGATTCATAATTCATACATTTCTTATTCGTATCTTAGGTATGTTTGCGCATGCCAGCAGTGGGGGCTTGATTAATAAACAAGTGTTGTCACAGTAATAATGATTTGAATACTGCTGAGACTAGCTCTTTCCCAGATAAGAATGTTTTTTCATCACAAAATATGACGTGCCTGCACAACCCCCCTGACATTTGCCACAGAATTACAGCCTCGCCGAAGGCCGCTGAGGTAGTAAATAGAGTTAGAGTATACAGTTTAAGAGTACCTGCGGTGCATTTGATGAGTTGTTGCTATAGTGATAAGTCCTGTTTTTATCTCTTTCCATAGCTTTAATGGTTGGATGTTTCTTTTAAAGTGTTTGTGGCGGGAGACTGGAGAGGGTTCATTCTATTGTGGTTGACCCAGGGACATCAATGGGAGTTGATTTTCATAAATGTTTTTGCCTTTTAGGGAGCTGAGTATTTGTTTGGTGAAGTACCTGGCCGTTGAAAGAGTGGTAAAGTCTGGTTTGATACATAATGAAACAAAGATATCAAAGGTGAGAGAGAAGGACAAAAGACGACTAAATCTGTCTTTTATGAATGTCTTGTTGAAAAGAGGGCTAGAGTTGTCTGATTTGTTCTCTGCTAATTGACAATGAGGAAATAATGATGAAGTAGGAACGCCCAATGAGACAGAGCGGTGGATCGCCATGCCGACTGGGAATAGGAAGCCAATGAAGGACTTTGAAAAGCAGGAAACCCTCTTCTGAATGGCATTATAATGAGCATTGCCAGGAGGGTGGGAGAGAGGGAGAGAGAGAGAGAATGAAGGACAGAGAGCTTGGACCAAAACAGAGAGAGAGAGAGGAAGCGAGAGAATGCATTGACATTACACATTGCTGAGAGAAGAAGAGAATGAACGACAGATAGATGTGACCTTTCACAGCAGAGAGACACAACGGATTTTACACACTTTTACAAAGAGACACATTTAATTGATCTTTGACGCAGTAAGAAATAGATAGAAAGCCAGGGATATATGTTTTTATACTACCACAAAGGAAAGACATGTATTGAACAAGTACCAACACCACAAGGTGAAAAACATCAAGATTTGATTTAGCTGAGCCAGATATTTGACAGGCTATTTCATAACGGAGGTATTATTGTCTGTTATTGTTGGGTGTTGTCTTGGCGACATGATGGCATTCTATCTGCCAAACCTCCATTCTATCTTAGAAAGCATCACTTTATTAAAGCTCTGGGAGGATTTTAACACTTTGACGGAAGCCAGGGGATGCGATATGATATATCCACAGGCGTTGACTCCCAGCCGCTCTCAAAGCCTCATCTAGATGTCTGCGTCTTAGTTTCCCCTCACAATACTTGATGAGGTAACATGAACGTTTAATCAAATGTAAACAAACTGGGAAACGGAAATGTGGTGATTGAGTGTTTGCGATGTAATTTTGGTGCAATGTGGTTGGTCAGGCTTACAGGAAGTGTGTCTGTGTGTGTGTGTCTGATCCATTTACAATGATGGAAATATTTTTATATCCGCTCCGTTTGCGTCCATCATCCCCGCCCGGTTCGCATCGATAGATCAAGATTGTGCATTTAGCCACCGGCTGATTTTAATTACACAGAGTTTAGTGATGAGATGAATCGGGAAGCCAGGTGTTTAGGGCTATCATCAGACCATATTGAGGGGAGTGGAGAGGAAAAACCAATAAGGATGTTGTTATCATAGTAAACAATGTTCTTGCTGCTCCCTTTGTTTTATGTTTCAGACAGAGATGATGTCGATCTCTGACGGAAGTCTTTGGGCTGTGTTGTGGTGTGTTGTCAGGGGGTAGTGGCCAGTGAGTTGGGGTGCCTCAGACGTCAGGTCCCTAGTCTACATTCAGTGGACACTTTCTTAATCAAATGCACTTATTATATGTCACTCTGGATAAAAGTGTCTGCTGGAAAGCACTTCAGACAGAGGACTTCAAGCACTTCTCTTCTTTTTCTCATTTACTACTTTCTCTCAACGTTCCCCTTTTTTTTTTCTGCTGTCTGTCTGTTGGGGTTTTTGTGCTGTCTGTCTGTCTGGATTGTTCGTTGAAGTTGTCTGGTTTGCCTGTCTGCTGTATGCTGTCTCTTCTTCTATTTCATTGTTTTGTTTTCTTTTTCGCGGGGGGAAAGGAAGGGGCGAGGGGGGAGGGGGGGGGCCAGGGAAAAGGGGAAAAAGGGGGAGAAAAGGGGGGAGAAGGGAAAACGGGGAGACAGGGGAAAAGGGGAAAGGGAAAGCGGGGAAAGGGGAGAAGGAGGGGGGGGGGAGGGAAATTTTTGGGGGCTATTGAGGGGAAAAAAAAGGGGAAAAGGGGGGTTAGGGACGAAATTTTTTTTGGGGGGAAAACTTTTCGGGGGGGCCCTTGGTTTAAAAGGAAGGTCTGGTTCGGGCCCCTTTTTTACAAATTTTTAAAAAAACCCAACCCTTTAATTTAGGTCTTTAAATTTATTTTTTTTTTAAAAAAAAAAACCCCAAAAATATTTCTGAAGGGGGGAAAAGGGGGGGCCCCAAAAGGAAAAAAAAGGGGAAGGGAGACCGGGGGCGCCCCCGGGGGGGAAGCGAACCCTTTAAAAAGGGCCGGGAAACGGGGGCGAGGAAAAGGGAAAAGAAGGAAGGGAGGAGCGGGGGGGCCCGGGGGAAACCCCCCCCCCGGGGGGGGGGGGGGGGGGGCCCCCCCCGGGGGGGGGGCCCCCCAAAAAAAAAAAAAACCCCCCCCCCGGGGGGGCCCCCCCCCCCCCCCCCCCTTTTTTTTTCTTCTTCCCCCCTTTTTCCTTTTCTCCTCTTTCCCCCCCCTTTTTCCCCTTTGGGTTAAAAATTTTTCTCTTTTCCCTTTTCTTTTCCTCGTTTTATCTCGTTTCTTTCCCCTCTCTCCCCTTTCCCCTTTCCCCCCCCCCCCCCTTTTTGGGGGGGGATTTTAGTTTTTTGGGGTAAAAAGATTTTTCAATGGTTTTGGTAGGAAGACGTCACTACCTACTGTAGTGCTGAGCTGAGCCGTCCTGGGGGGGGGAATTCACGGTGGGGTTTCTTGACCCCATTGATTGCCCACTGTTAAATTTCCCGTGCAACGTCCCAAAAAAGTCGTTCGACGGAGCGCTGAGAGGTCTTATAGAGGTCATGAAAGCACTGGCCAATACATCTGAAGTGTGTGTGTGTGTGTGCCATTGTGTGTATTTAAAGCTGGCCCTCAGACTGCAGCCTCCTCCTCAGTAGTCTGAGCTGAGGGTTCTTGCTATGAGAAATGTGTGTGTGTGTATGTTTGTGTGGGTGTGTGTGTGTTTTCGTTTGTTAGACAGTGAGACTGTGAGTGTGTGTGTGTTTCTCTGGTTTGTGTGTGTATATAAACTCCCTCTCTCTCTCTCTCCTCAGGTGGGAACGCTTGGGCGTGTATATAAACTCCCTCCCTCTCTCTCTCTCCTCAGGTGGGAACCCTCGGGGGGTGTTTGCCCTGGGGCAGGTGCAGGGTGAGTGGAAGATGTATGTGAAGCGCCCACTGGACCGTGAGGAACAGGACCTATACCTCCTCAACGTTACCGCTAGCGACGGCCTGTTCGTCACCAGGGCAACCGTGGAGGTGTCTGTGACTGACACCAACGACAACAGCCCTGTCTGTGACCAGGTCAGTAACACTCTTTATTTACAGACTGTTCCGTCTGTACACTACTGCATTTATATGTTTATGTTTATAGGTCACTCAGCATTATTCTTATCTGTTTTCTGAATGACATAGTTTCCTACAATATAATAAAACATTGGCATTGATTATCGTAGGTGTTTACTGTTTATTGTAAGCTGTCCCATAACTGGTGCAGAAATGTGACTTTACAGTTGAATTCCACTTGTCTTATATGTGGTTAGGTTTTATGTTCTACTTCAGGCATAACTCATATTTAATAGTTTTATTTGCTGCTGTTGGTTCTGTTTCCAGATTCTGCAGGGTCTTTTCCTTTACTGTAAACAGAAACGGTATAATTTAGACTGTATAATTTAGAGTGTGTTTTTATGTTGTGTCTGTGTTCCTGTGTGAGGTCTGGTGATACGTAGCTGTGGTTGAGTCTGTGTGTTGATGTGTGAGGTCTGGTGATACGTAGCTGTGGTTGATGTCTGTGTGTTCCTGTGTGAGGTCTGGTGATACGTAGCTGTGGTTGAGTCTGTGTTCCTGTGTGAGGTCTGGTGATACGTAGCTGTGGTTGTGTCTGTGTGTTGCTGTGTGAGGTCTGGTGATACGTAGCTGTGGTTGAGTCTGTGTGTTGCTGTGTGAGGTCTGGTGATACGTAGCTGTGGTTGAGTCTGTGTTCCTGTGTGAGGTCTGGTGATACGTAGCTGTGGTTGAGTCTGTGTGTTGCTGTGTGAGGTCTAGTGATACGTAGCTGTGGTAGAGTCTGTGTGTTGCTGTGTGAGGTCTAGTGATACGTAGCTGTGGTTGTGTCTGTGTGTTGCTGTGTGAGGTCTGGTGATACGTAGCTGTGGTTGTGTCTGTGTGTTGCTGTGTGAGGTCTAGTGATACGTAGCTGTGGTTGTGTCTGTGTGTTGCTGTGTGAGGTCTGGTGATACGTAGCTGTGGTTGAGTCGTTTTTGCTGGTGGGGTTGGTGAACGGTGTGGTTGTGTCTGTGTTTGCGGGTGTGGGGTTGGTGATACGTAGTTGGTTGAGTTTTTTTGAGCAGTGTGTTTGTTGTAATGTAAAGGAACTGTTTGATTTATAAGGTTTGATAGATTGTTTGTTGCTGCATGTTAGGTTTCTACTGTTAGTTTTCTCTGTCTGTCTAGGGAGCTGTTGTACACTATTAGGAGAGTGGTGGCGTGTTTGATGCTGGCTGATATACAGGCTACTGCTTTATGGAGTTAGTAAAACTCTCTTGTTGGTAGGAGGGGCTGTATGGGGGAGGGATGATTTTTTATGGCATTTTTTGGGGGATAGGAGGGTAGAGGGGGGGGATGATTTTATGTTGTTTTTTTTTGTGTGTGGTGTAAAGTATGTTTAGAATGTGGGGGGGTTTTATTCAGTAGCCTACATTTTTTTTGTCTGGGGGGTAAATCTTTTTAAGCGTTTAAAAAATTTTAGTATGTTTTTTTGGTGGGGAGCGGGGGTGGGGAGAGCGGGGGGCAGGCCCGTCACGGCCTGGCCCCGGGGGGCCCCCAACGGGGGGGTGTTGGGGGGAGGGTTTAGGATCGGGGACCGGCCAAGGACCCGGGGCTAAACCCCCCCCCCCAGGGGACACACTTTTTTTTTGATTTCCAATGAGTTTATGGTGTGGTGCTTAAACCTGTTCTTTTTCTGTTTGGCGAACAAAAGACTCCCGGTCCCGGACAAAAGACCCCGGACAAATGGTTCACAACCAATGGTGCTTTGGTGGGGGCAATTTAGTGTTGGTGATCAACCCTCCCTTTTTTCTGTCCCCACAACTGCCAAGTGGAGAAGAAAAGCCCCAAGGCCCCGTCAACAAAAGGCCTGCCTGGAAAGGTAAGAAGGGGAAATTTTCCCCCTTTTCCTCTCCCCTTCCTCTTTCTTCCCCATCTCCCTTAAACCCTATCCCTCCTTCCCCTTTTTCCTTCTTCCCCTTTTTCCTTTCCCGTCTCTCTCTCTCTCTCTCTCTCTACTCTCTCTCTCTCTTCTCTCTCTCTCTCTCTCTCATATTTCATTTCAATTCAAAGGGCTTTATTGGCATGGGAAACATATGTTTTACATTGCCAAAGCAAGTGAAATAGATAATAAAACAAAAGTGAAATAAACAATCAAAAATGTACAGTAAACATTACACTCACAGGTATTAGCACATTAAAGGTTTACCAAACAAGCCACGCAGTGTCGACTGGCGTCATGTTTCAAAGAGGAAGCACTGTGGCTGCTAGCGGGATGAAAGACAGAAGGGGAGGAGAGAGAGGGAGAGAGAGAGAAAGAGAGAGGGAGAGAGAGAAAGAAAGAGAAGAGAGAGAGGAGAAGAGAGAGAGGAGGAGAGAGGAGGAGAGAGAGAGAAAGAAGAGGAGAGAGAGAGAGAGAAAAAGAGGGAGAGAGAGACAAAGTGAGAGGGAGAGAGAGAAAGAAAGAGGGAGAGAGAGAGAGAGAGGGAGCGAGAGAGAGAAAGAAAGATGGAGAGAGAGAGAAAGAGAGAGAGAGCGAGAGAGGGAGAGAGAGAGAGACAGAAGGGCATAAGGGGAGGAAAGAGAAGGAGAGAGAGAGAGAGAAGAGGAGAGAGAGAGAGGAGAGAGAGAGAGAGAGAGAGAGAGAGAGAGTGAGGAAGAGGGAACCAGAGAGAGAGAAAGGTATCAGGGAGGAGAGATACCAATTAAACAAAGATTCATGTTTGAACTGGAGTCAACCTCTCTATTTCCCTCTCTGCCTTTCTCTTTTCTCTACATCTCAACTCTCAAAACACACACGCACAGATGGCAATCAATAAGTTCAATCATTTATTAATGAAAGATTGTTCTAACATCCCTCTCCCCTCTCTCCAGGCGTCAGTCGTAAGGTGGTCTATTCTCTGGCCGACTCTGCCAACGGCTTCTTCTCCATCGACAAATCCTCCGGCATCGTGGTCCTGGAACGTATCCTCGACCGCGAACAGCAACCGTCCTACATGATCACGGTCAGAGCATCTGACCAGGGCTCTCCGGTCCGCCTGTCCTCCCTGGTCAACGTGACCGTCACGGTCCTGGACATCAATGACAACCCGCCGGTGTTTGAGCGCCGTGACCACCTCGCCACCGTGCCAGAGGACGTTGGGTTAGGGACGGAGGTGCTGAGAGTGTACGCAGCCAGTAAGGACATTGGAACCAATGCTGAGATCACCTATAGTATCCGCTCAGGCAATGAGCATGGAAAGTTCCACATACACCCCCTAACTGGTAAGTTTCCATATGTAGAATATAAAGTGGCAATTTACACTACCGTTCCAAAGTTTGCGGTCACTTTTTTTGTCCATTAAAATGACATCAAATTGATCAGAAATACAGTGTAGACATTGTTAATGTTGTAAATGGCTATTGTAGCTGGAAACGGCTGATTTTTAATGGAATATCGACATTGGCGTACATAGGCCCATTATCAGCAACAATCAGTCCTGTGTTCCAATGGCACGTTGTGTTTGCTAATCCAACTTTATCATTTTAAAAGGCTAATTGATCATTATAAAACCCTTTTGTAATAATTGCTGAAAACTGTTGTGCTGATTAAAGAAGCAATAAAACTGACTTATTGAGACTTGTAGAGTATCTGGAGCATCAGCAATTGTGGGTTCGATTACAGGCTCAAAATGGCCAGAAACAAATAACTTTCTTCTAAAACCCGTCAGTCTATTCTTGTTCTGAGCTATTCCATGCGAGAAATTGCCAAGAAACTGAAGATCTCATACAACGCTGTGTACTACTCCCTTCACAGAACAGCGCAAACTGGCTCTAACCAGAATAGAAAGAGGAGTGGGAGGCCCCGGTGCACAACTGAGCAAGAGGACAAATACATTAGAGTGTCTAGTTTGAGAAACAGACGCCTCACAGGTCATCAACTGGCAGCTTCATTAAATAGTACCCGCAAAACACCAGTCTCAACGTCAACAGTGAATAGGTGACTCTGGGATGTTGACCTTCTAGGCAGAGTTGCAAAGAAAAAGACATATCTCAGACTGACCAATAAAAAGAAAAGATTAAGATGGGCAGTCTGAGATATGGCTTTTGTTGAGAGGTGTCTGCTACCTGAACTCTGTGAAGCATTTATTTGGGCTAGAATTTCTGAGGCTGGTAACTCTAATGAACTTATCCTCTGCAGCAGAGTTAACTCTGGATCTTCCATTCCTGTGGCGGTCCTCATGAGAGCCAGTTTCATCATAGTGCTTGATGGTTTTTGCGACTGCACTTCAGAAAACATTCAAAGTTCTTGAAATGTTCCGTATTGACTGACCTTCATGTCTTAAAGTAATGATGGACTGTCATTTCTCTTTGCTTATTTGAGCTGTTCTTGCCATAATATGCACTAGGTATTTTACCAAATAGGGCTATCTTCTGTATACAGTGCCTTGCAAAAGTATTCATCCCCCTTGGCATTTTTCCTATTTTGTTGCATTACAACCTGTAATTTAAATTGATTTTTATTTGGATTTCATGTAATGGACATACACAAAATAGTCCAAATTGGTGAAGTTAAATGAAAAAATAACTTTTTTCAAAAATGTCTTAAAAATGAATAACGGAAAAGTGGTGCGTGCATATGTATTCACCTCCTTTGCTATGAAGCCCCTAAATAAGATCTGGTGCAACCAATTACCTTCAGAAGTCACATAATTAGTTAAATAAAGTCCACCTGTGTGCAATCTAAGTGTCACATGATCTGTCACATGATCTCAGTATATATACACCTGTTCTGAAAGGCCCCAGAGTCTTCAACACCACTAAGCAAGGGGCACCACCAAGCAAGGGGCACCACCAAGCAAGCGGCACCATGAAGACCAAGGAGCTCTCCAAACAGGTCAGGGACAAAGTTGGAGAAGTACAGATCAGGGTTGGGTTATACAAAAATATCAGAAACTTTGAACATCACACGGAGCACCATTAAATCCATTATTAAAAAATGGAAAGAATATGGCACCACAACAAACCTGCCAAGAGATGGCTGCCCACCAAAACTTACAGACCAGGCAAGGAGGGCATTATTCAGAGAGGCAACAAAGACACCAAATAACCCTGAAGGAGCTGCAAAGCTCCGCAGCAGAGATTGGATTATCTGTCCATAGCACCACTTTAAGCCGTACACTCCACAGAGCTGGGCTTTACGGAAGAGTGGCCAGAAAAAAAGCAATTGCTTAAAGAAAAAAATAAGCAAACACGTTTGGTGTTCGCCAAAAGGCATGTGGGAGACTCCCCAAACATATGGAATCAGGTACTCTGGTCAGATGAGACTAAAATTGAGCTTTTTGGCCATCAAGGAAAACGCTATGTCTGTCGCAAACCCAACACCTCTCATCACCCCAAGAACACCATGTTTTTCATCGGCAGGTACTGGGAAACTGGTCAGAATTGAAGGAATGATGGATGGCGCTAAATACAGGGAAATTCTTGAGGGAAACCTGTTTCAGTCTTCCAGAGATTTGAGACTGGGACGGAGGTTCACCTTCAAGCAAGACATTGACCCTAAAAATACTGCTAAAGCAACACTCGAGTGGTTTAAGGGGAAACATTTAAATGTCTTGGAATGGCCTAGTCAAAGCTCAGACCTCAATCCAATTGAGAATCTGTGGTATGACTTAAAGATTGCTGTACACCAGCGGAACCCATCCAACTTGAAGGAGCTGGATCAGTTTTGCCTTGAAGAATGGGCAAATATCCCAGTGGCTAGATGTGCCAAGATTATAGAGACATACCCTAAGAGACTTACAGCTTTACTTGCTGCAAAAGGTGGCTCTACAAAGTATCCATTTTAATTCCAGGTTGTAAGGCAACAAAATAGGAAAAATGCCAAGGGGGGTGAATAATTTTGCATGCCACTGTACCCCCCCTACCTTGTCACAACACAACTGATTGGCTCAAAAGCATTAAGAAGGAAAGAAATTCCACAAATTAACTTTTAAGAAGGCACACTTGTTAATTGAAATGCATTCCAGGTGACTACCTCATGAAGCTGGTTGAGAGAATGCCAAGAGTGTGCAAAACTGTCATCGAGGCAAAGGGTGGCTATTTGAAGAATCTCAAATATAAAATATATTTTGATTTGTTTAACACGTTTTTGGTTGCTACATGATTCCGTATTTGTTATTTAATAGTTTTGAGGTCTTCACTATTATTCTACAATGTAGAAAATTGTAAAAATAAAGAAAAACCCTTGAATGAGTAGGTGTGTCCAAACTTTTGACTGGTACTGTATGTCTTTGTTTGCAAATTCATGTTACATACTTCTACATGGTGTTAGAAGTAGGATCCCTACCTACCTATTGACCTTTCACCCTCTTTGTACTAGGTGCCATCGCTGTGTCCAAGCCTCTGGACTTTGAGACGTGTAAAGACTACTTCCTTACTGTGGAGGCCAGAGACGGTGGAACCCCGCCCCTAAGCGCCGTAACCATGGTAAACATCAACCTGACGGACATCAACGACAATGCACCAATGTTCAGCCGAGACGTCTACACTGCTGTCGTATCCGAGGACACAACCATCGGAGAGTCCGTCGTCAAGGTATGTCCTGTTGGCTCTTTAACATGGACTGGTTCAGCCATGTTTCCCAGACGTCTCCAGGAGTACCCGCAGTCTCTTTAACCTGGACTGGTTCAGCCATGTTTCCCAGACGTCTCCAGGAGTACCCGCAGTCTCTTTAACCTGGACTGGTTCAGCCATGTTTCCCAGACGTCTCCAGGAGTACCCGCAGTCTCTTTAACCTGGACTGGTTCAGCCATGTTTCCCAGACCTCTCCAGGAGTACCCTCAGTCTCTTTAACCTGGACTGGTTCAGCCATGTTTCCCAGACGTCTCCAGGAGTACCCCCAGTCTCTTTAACATGGACTGGTTCAGCCATGTTTCCCAGACGTCTCCAGGAGTACCCCCAGTCTCTTTAACCTGGACTGGTGTCGCGACTTCCGCCGAGGCTGCCCCCCCCCTCCTTGTCCGGGCAGGCTTCGGCGTTCGCCGTCACCGGAGTACTAGCTACTGCCGATCCCATTATCATCACTCCACTTGTCATGTCTTGTCAATCACACACACCTGGTGCTCATTCCCCTAATTAGTATGTGTATAAGTGTTCCCTCTGTTCCCCTTGTCTTTGTGAGTGATTGTTTTGTTGTGAGAGCATGTAGCTCGGTTGAGCTACATTTCACTGGGTTATTTGCCAAGGTGGATGTGTTCCCTTATACAGTGTCGTTTGACGCTTGGGGCGTTTGATTTATGCAAACAGTTTAACTCTGGACTTCGGTATTTTACCTCCTGCGCCTGACTCCTTCTTTCACACCTCGTCACAACTGGTTCAGCCATGTTTCCCAGACCTCTCCAGGAGTACCCCCAGTCTCTTTAACCTGGACTGGTTCAGCCATGTTTCCCAGACCTCTCCAGGAGTACCCCCAGTCTCTTTAACCTGGACTGGTTCAGCCATGTTTCCCAGACCTCTCCAGGAGTACCCCCAGTCTCTTTAACCTGGACTGGTTCAGCCATGTTTCCCAGACCTCTCCAGGAGTACCCCCAGTCTCTTTAACCTGGACTGGTTCAGCCATGTTTCCCAGACCTCTCCAGGAGTACCCCCAGTCTCTTTAACCTGGAATGGTTCAGCCATGTTTCCCAGACCTCTCCAGGAGTACCCCCAGTCTCTTTAACCTGGACTGGTTCAGCCATGTTTCCCAGACCTCTCCAGGAGGACCCCCAGTCGGGTTGCACTCATTTGAACTTTTCTGTTACAAACACACCTGATTCAATCTGAACTAATCATCAAGCCCTTCATTAATAAGGTCAAGTGTGCTCGTTCTGGGATACATCCAATAAGTTCAACTGGATGGGGGTACTCGAGGAAACATTTAGGAAACACTAACCATCTTACTGTGTGTGTGTGTGTGTGTGTGTGTGTGTGTGTTGGAGAGTCCCTGCCTAACCCCCCTCTCCTCCTCCTCTAGCTGACAGCTGAGGATGTAGACAGCCAGGTGAATGGTGAAATCCTCTACTCCATCGTCAGTGGTGACAGAGAGAACCAGTTCTTCATAGACCCTCTCTCTGGCATGGTGAAGGTCAACAAACAGCTGGACAGAGAGACGGTGAGCACACACACACACACACAGGTACACACACAGGTAAAAACACACACACACACACACACACACACACACACACACACACCACAGGTAAACCCACAGGTACACACACAGGTAAACACACACACAGGTAAACACACACACACACCACAGGTAAACACACACACACAGGTAAACACACACCACACAGGTAACACACACACACACACACACACACAGGTAAACACACACATCCACAGGTACACACACAGGTAAACACACACACACACACAGGTAAACACACACACACACACACAGGTAAACACACACACACAGGTAAACACACACACACACACACACACACACACAGGTAACACACACACACAGGTACACACACATACATACACAGGTAAACACACACACACACAGGTACACACACAGGTAAACACACACACACAGGTAAACACACACACACACACAGGTAAACACACACATCCACAGGTATACACACAGGTAAACACACACACACACACACACAGGTAAACACACACACACACACACACACACACAGATAACACACACACACAGGTACACACACATACACACAGGTAAACACACACACACACACACACAAGGTACACACACAGGTAAACACACACACACAGAAACAAACCAACACTACGGCCAATACAACCACAGCATGAACACTAATAACAACTACTGTCTCTGACACGTACACCACCACATCACCATCACAAACAAACACCTCCACCTTTTATCCTCCTGCAGCTAGCTAGCTCCTCCTGACCATTTCTCTCATGGAGGATGTTCAGTTCCTCTGGTTAGAGCATTGCATCCCATCCCTCCTCTTCCTGCTTTCTTCCCTCTTCTTTTATTTGCTTGAAGCGTTCCGAGTGTGTCTTCCAATTCCCTCATAAAGAATTTATGAGTGTGACCCTTGACAGTGCGGAGAGCGGATCTGAGCGCGCTCCAAAGAGAACGCCTGGGCTTGTGGGGGATTAAAGAGCTGATGAAAGTGTGTTTGGGTTATCAGAAAGAGCACAGCCCTGTGTGTGTGTGTGTGTGTGTGTGTCTTCACGCACCACTATTTCCATACAGGTTATTCTAATTTACTCTCTCCCAAGCAGCACTGTGGTTGTTTATTGTGGTTTATTTTTTCATTTCTCAGAGTGAAAGGTTGTTATTTTTGTTTTCAGTTATTGCATTTTTCTGCTGTGTTTAGTTAGGCTGTTATTACAGAGCTTTATGTGGAAAGATACCCTGCAGCTAGCGTGGTAGGGAATAAGGTGTGTGTGTGTGTGTGTCTTCACTCCCTAAGATAATAAATCCTGTCTACCTGAGATAGACTTGACAGTGTTCCCTCAGGTACACTCTTAGGAAGAAAGGTGCTATCTAGAAACTAAAAGGGTTCTTCGGCTGTCCCCGTAGGAGAACCCTTTAAAGAACCCATTTTGGTTCCAGGTAGAACACTTTTGGTGCCAGGTAGAACCTTTTTGGGTTCCATGTAGAACTGGAACCCAAAAGGGTGCTCCTATGGGGACAGCCGAATAACCATTTTGAAACCCTTTTGTCTTAGAGTGTAGAGTGAATCTGAGAGACAGAGACAGAAACCCAGGGTACATGCTTGGTAGGACACGCCAGGAATGTGTCAGTCACAGGAGTGTGTTTCAGAGGATCAAAGGATGCGCCCACAACCAATCACAACACACTTAATCAGCGCCCTTACGTCCTTGTTTGGTCTGCTGATATTCAAGGGAGTACCACATAAGGATGCGTATCCAGGAGGATATTTGATTAGAGACTTGTCATCATTGGTTAATGTGTGATGAATTTGATTTGCATGGAAATTGCTGTGTATGATTTTCTCGATCCTATTATCGTTATCAGGCATGAAATTATTACAACGTTTCTCGACGTGAAGTTTCAAGGGAAACACATGTAATTTTTCTTCTCTCTAGGTGTCTGGTTACTCTCTGGCGGTCAGGGCTCTGGACAGTGGTGTTCCGCCCATGTCGTCAACGGTGATGGTCAACATCGACATCTCAGACATCAACGACAGCCCGCCTACTTTCACCCCGGCCAATCTCACCACTGTCATACAGGTACTGTTACTCACATGATTGACAGCTCTGGTGAACTCTATACACACCGACATCCACATAGACATAGATATTCACACACATATCCTTTCTTACAGAAGAAGCACACACACACACACACACACACACACACACACTCCGTCTTGCATCTAATCTAATTTCCCTTCTCGTACTGTCCAATCACAGGAGAACAAGCCCATCGGCACCAGCATTCTGCAGCTGTCCGTCATAGACCAGGACTCCTCCCATAACGGCCCGCCCTTTGAGTTCCGCATCTTATCAGGGAACGAGGGTGGAGAGTTTACACTGGAGTGGGATGGAACTCTGCTAGCCAATCAGGTGTTTAGGAGGGACTTAGCCACGGAGTATGTCATCCAAGTCCAGGTAAGAAGGTCATTTTAGATAATCTCAGTCAACCCTGTTAGTGTTAGCACCAGGTCTTACAACCAGCTGGTCAACCCTGTTAGTGTTAACACCAGGTCTTACAACCAGCTGGTCAACCCTGTTAGTGTCAACACCAGGTCTTATAACCAGCGGGTCAACTCTGTTAGTGTCAACACCAGGTCTTACAACCAGCTAGCTTGTGTAAGGTCTGTTACTAAATCACACATGGAGTTGCATTGTGATTTATGTTTTTTGGCTCTGTGTTAATTAACCGTTTGCTTCTCCCCTACTCCCCATACCTCTAGGTAAGGGACTCCGGTAAGCCCCGTCTGTCCTCCTCCTCTACCCTGACGGTGCGTGTGATTGAGGAGAGCCTTCACCGGCCTGTAGCACTACCCCTGGAGGTCCACATCATCACCATGGAGGACGAGTTTCCTGGAGGAGTCATCGGCCAGCTGCACGCCACCGACGCAGACCCCTACGATGTCCTGACCTTCGGCCACGCACCTCCGTCTCAACGCTCCCTCTTCAAGATCAGTCCGAGAGACGGTAAGATCATAGCCCTGGGAGGCCTGGACTCCGGCCGCTACTCCCTCAATGCCAGCGTGAGTGACGGACGCTTCGCCGTGCCCGTGGCTGTGAGCGTGCACGTGGAGCAGGCATCGCCAGAGATGCTGCGGGAGGCGGTTACAGTACGTTTCGAGAGTGTGCAACCCCACGACTTCGTGGCCACACATCTGAAAAACGTGGTGAAAGTTCTGAAGGTTGCCGCCGCGACGCAGAAGCAGGATGCGCTGCACGTGCTCAGTCTGCAGCCCGTGGGCGGGACCAGCCAATTGGATCTGCTGGTTGCCGTGGAGACGGCTGGGGGAGGGTTCTACAAGGCAGCGTACCTGACCCAGAAGCTGAGCGCCTCTCGGAGGCAGCTGGAGGAAGTGCTGAGGGTGTCGGCCATCTTGGATAAGAACTGTTCTGGGCTGGAGTGTCGCGGGGCCCAGTGTGAGCAGAGCATTGTGTTGGACTCTAACGCTCTCATCACCTACAGCACACCCAGGGTTAGCTTTGTGTCGCCACGCTTCCACAGGACCACACGCTGCACCTGCACTGGTGAGGACATGCACACACACACATACACACCAACAGATATACACTCATGTATCGTATCAATGTACAGTACCAGTCAAAAGTTTGGACACACCTACTCATTACAAGGTTTTTCTTTTCCACATACAGTGAGGGAAAAAAGTATTTGATCCCCTGCTGATTTTGTACGTTTGCCCACTGACAAAGAAATTATCAGTCTATAATTTTAATGGTAGGTTTATTTGAACAGTGAGAGACAGAATAACAACAACAAAATCCAGAATAACGCATGTCAAAAATGTTATAAATTGATTTGCATTTCAATGAGGGAAATAAGTATTTGACCCCCACTCAATCAGAAAGATTTCTGGCTCCCAGGTATCTTTTACACAGGTAACGAGCAGAGATTAGGAGCACACTCTTAAAGGGAGTGCTCCTAATTTCAGCTTGTTACCTGTATAAAAGACACCTGTCCACAGAAGCAATCAATCAATCAGATTCCAAACTCTCCACCATGGCCAAGACCAAAGAGCTCTCCAAGGATGTCAGGGACAAGATTGTAGACCTACACAAGGCTGGAATGGGCTACAAGACCATCGCCAAGCAGCTTGGTGAGAAGGTGACAACAGTTGGTGCGATTATTCGCAAATGGAAGAAACACAAAATAACTGTCAATCTCCCTCGGCCTGGGGCTCCATGCAAGATCTCACCTCGTGGAGTGTCAATGATCATGAGAACGGTGAGGAATCAGCCCAGAACTACACGGGAGGATCTTGTCAATGATCTCAAGGCAGCTGGGACCATAGTCACCAAGAAAACAATTGGTAACACACTACGCCGTGAAGGACTGAAATCCTGCAGCGCCCGCAAGGTCCCCCTGCTCAAGAAAGCACATATACAGGCCCGTCTGAAGTTTGCCAATGAACATCTGAATGATTCAGAGGAGAACTGGGTGAAAGTGTTGTGGTCAGATGAGACCAAAATGTAGGTCTTTGGCATCAACTCAACTCGCCGTGTTTGGAGGAGGAGGAATGCTGCCTATGACCCCAAGAACACTATCCCCACCGTCAAACATGGAGGTGGAAACATTATGCTTTGGGGGTGTTTTTCTGCTAAGGGGACAGGACAGCTTCACCGCATCAAAGGGACAATGGACGGCGCCATGTACTGTCAAATCTTGGGTGAGAACCTCCTTCCCTCAGCCAGGGCATTGAAAATGGGTTGTGGATGGGTATTCCAGCATGACAATGACCCAAAACACACGGCCAAGGCAACAAAGGAGTGGCTCAAGAAGAAGCACATTAAGGTCCTGGAGTGGCCTAGCCAGTCTCCAGACCTTCATCCCATAGAAAATCTGTGGAGGGAGCTGAAGGTTCGAGTTGCCAAACGTCAGCCTCGAAACCTTAATGACTTGGAGAAGATCTGCAAAGAGGAGTGGGACAAAATCCCTCCTGAGATGTGTGCAAACCTGGTGGCCAACTACAAGAAACGTCTGACCTCTGTGATTGCCAATAAGGGTTTTGCCACCAAGTACTAAGTCATGTTTTGCAGAGGGGTCAAATACTTATTTCCCTCATTAAAATGCAAATCAATTGATAACATTTTTGACATGCGTTTTTCTGGATTTTTTTGTTATTATTCTGTTTCTCACTGTTCAAATAAACCTACCATTAAAATTATAGACTGATCATGTCTTTGTCAGTGGGCAAACGTACAAAATCAGCAGGGGATCAAATACTTTTTTCCCTCACTGTATGTGTTATTTCATAGTTCTGATGTCTTCACTATTATTCTACAATGTAGAAAATAATAAAAATAAAGAAAAACCCTTGAATGAGTAGGTGTGTCCAAACTTTTGACTGGTACTGTATATTCATAATGATGCACTCACATACTCATACAGAAATACACACACAAACAAAAGTGTCCCGAAGTGTCCTTTAGAGAGCTGTACAGTAGGCATTGTTGACGTCTGCATGATCTGCACTGTAGAAAACACTCTGTCTGATTGTATAAATACTATAATGATAAATTGATGGTCATAATCCACCAGGGGCATCTTGAGTGTGTATCTGACCCCTGGGATTAGTCAGACCCCGCCCCCCCAGTAGATTCAATTAGCATGTTGTGGCTAATGTAATTAGCATGTCTCCTAGGGACACTTGGCAGAGGATTTGGCTGCCTCTACTCAGAATAACCCTAAATGAACTTGTCCTCTCTCGCTGTCTTCATTCATCCTTTCTTTCTCCCTTCTACTCGAAAGCCGAAGACTGTCCATTCTTCTATCAATGGTACGATCTTATGTTAATATGTATGACTTGTATCCCTCCCGGGACTTGGGGTAGCCGGGATGAGGACCCCGCCCAGTGAAGTACCTGTGGTAGTTAGGCATGCGCCGGCGGAGGGATGCACAGATACCAGAGAGAGCCGGCTGAGAGCAGCGCCCATTCCTCTCGTCGAGCTTGGTGGTCGCGAATCAGCGGTGGTCGGAGTACCGGGGTGCTCGACCTAGATATCACACCCCCTCCTTCTTCCCGGACTCTCACCCTGCGCATCTCCCAACGGCTCATATCTTGTCGCTACTGTTGTGCACAACTAATGCACTCCTGTAGCGAGAGCCTATGGGTTATTTATCAGCAGCTCTACTACGATCGTTTATCATGGAGGACAACAAGACGAAGAGAGCAGGAACCCCCTAACCTATTCAGCTCCACTTCTTTCTCCTTTGATAACCACACCCCACCTGCTGTTCTCTCTCTGTATCTCTCTGTGATCTCTCTCTCTCTCTCTCTCTCTCACCCCTCTTCTCTTCTCTCTCTCTCCCTCCTCTCTCTCCCTCCCCTCCTTTCTCTCCCTCCCCCTTCTCTCTCGCCCTCTCTCCCTCCATCAGATGGTAGCTGTCCCCCAGCCTCAGAGTTGTGTGATGAGCAGCCCTGTCCAGGAGACATGCAGTGTGTGGGCACAGAGGGCACCAGAGGACCGTACGCCTGCCAGTGTCCACCAGGGAAACTAGGAGAGTGTGCAGGTGCGTTGATGTGGGTTTATGTGTCCAGGGGTCTTGAATGTTTGGGTCCGTTGTAAATGTGATGTAATTTGTGGATGGAAATAGAACAAAATGTATTAAATCGTGCGTGTGTGTGGGTTTGGTGTGTGTGTGTGTGTGTTTGGTGTGTGTGTGTTTGGTGTGTGTGTGTGTGCAGGTCACACGTCTCTGAGTTTCTCAGGGAACAGCTATATCAAGTATAAAGTGTCTGATGGAGGGAGGACAGGAGAGATGAAGCTAGGACTGAGGATCAGAACTCTACAGAGCAGAGGAATCATCATGTACACACACGCTGACCCCTGCACTATACTCAAGGTACACACACGCTGACCCCTGCACTATACTCAAGGTACACACACGCTGACCCCTGCACTATACTCAAGGTACACACACGCTGACCCCTGCACTATACTCAAGGTACACACACGCTGACCCCTGCACTATACTGAAGGTACACACACGCTGACCCCTGCACTATACTCAAGGTACACACAACGCTGACCCCTGCACTATACTCAAGGTACACACACGCTGACCCTGCACTATACTCAAGGTACACACACGCTGACCCCTGCACTATAGTCAAGGTACACACACGCTGACCCCTGCACTATACTCAAGGTACACACACATACGCTGACCCCTGCACTATACTCAAGGTACACACACATACGCTGACCCCTGCACTATACTCAAGGTACACACACGCTGACCCCTGCACTATACTCAAGGTACACACACGCTGACCCCTGCACTATACTCAAGGTACACACACGCTGACCCCTGCACTATACTCAAGGTACACACACGTACGCTGACCCCTGCACTATACTCAAGGTACACACACGTACGCTGACCCCTGCACTATACTCAAGGTACACACACGTACGCTGACCCCTGCACTATACTCAAGGTACACACACATACGCTGACCCCTGCACTATACTCAAGGTACACACACGCTGACCCCTGCACTATACTCAAGGTACAGACACGTACGCTGACCCCTGCACTATACTCAAGGTACAGACACACACGCTGACCCCTGCACTATACTCAAGGTACACACACGTACGCTGACCCCTGCACTATACTCAAAGTACACACACGCACACACATGTACGCTTGCTGACCCCTGTTTATGGTACACACCTATACATGCTAATCCCTGTACTATACTGAACATAACAGACATGTGCTCAGACTACTGTGTTATACTCAAGGTACACATACCTGGAAACAGGCATGGATAGTCTGGATACCCACAGCACGATCCACCCTTGTTATTACCCGAGGCTAAGCCACTTTATCCGCTCTCATCTGTGTCTAAACCCTGCCTCTCTTGTTGTGATTGACAGCTGGAGGAGGGTAAGCTGTGGTTCCAGCTGGACTGTGGGAACAGCCCTGGTATGCTGGGTATTTCTGGGAGGCCCATCAACGATGGTAACTGGCACACGGTGACTCTGGAGCTCAACCGTAACTTCACCAGTCTGTCTCTGGACGACAGCTATGTGGAGAGGAGGAGAGGACCGCCAAGCTTCCAACCACTAGGGGCAGATGGGTGTATCTACTTTGGAGCACAGGTGGGCTTTCTGTGGGGGGGAAGGGGTGTGCGTGTGTGTGTGTGTGTGTGTGTGTGTTTTTGGTTTTGCTATCCTTGTGGGGACCAGAAGTCCTCACGAGGACAGTAAAACAAGGAAAATTGAGGACATTTCGCCGATCCCCACAAGGAAAAAGGCTATTTTAGGCTTAGGGGTTAGGTTTAGGGTTTGAGTTACAATTAGGGTTAGGGTTAGAAGTAGGGTTAGGAGTTAGGTTTGGGGTTAGGAGTTAGGGAAAATAGGATTTTGAATGCGAATCAATTGTTTGGTCCCGACAAGGATAGTAAAACAAAAATTTCTGGGTATGGGTGTGTGACAGATTTTTTCAGAGTGTGTGTGGGGGGGGGGGGGGGGTTGTTGTGAGTGTGTTAGGGACACTAATATGTTTGTATGGGCGTGGCTGTGTGTGTTTTGCATGTGCGAGCGTCATGGATTTGTATGTGTGAGTATAGTGTTTCTCTATAATGCTCTTACCTATGTCATCTTGTCAGAGTGATGAACACAACACAAGGTAAGACGCTGGATTGGAAGCTCTGGATAGGAAGCTCTGGATAGGAAACTCTGGACGGGGAGCTCTGGATAGGAGCTCTGCATAGGAAGCTTTGCATAGGAAGCTCTGGATAGGAAGCTCTGGATAGGAAGCTCTGGATAGGAAGCTCTGGATAGGAATCTCTGGATAGGAAGCTCTGGATAGGAATCTCTGAAGCTCTGGATGGGAAGCTCTGGATAGGATGCTCTGGATGGGAAGCTTTGGATAGGAAGTTATGGATAGGAAGCTCTGGATAGGATGCTCTGGATAGGAAGCTCTGAGGAATACAGCGTGTGTGTATTTATTAATGTACTGTATTTAGGGTATGTGGGGATCAGAATCTTAGTCTTTTATATTGTTGTCTGAACATGACTTGTGTGCTATACCTATTCATATACAGTACACTATTTGTTAGTTTGTTTGTATACATAAATCCGATTTGTCACTCATGTCTCTCGCCTCCCCCCTCCCCCCTCCCCCCCTCCCCACAGGTACAACCTCCTAACTCTCGCAGCCTGACAGACAAGAAGGGTCCTCGGGTGACGGATGGTTTCCAGGGCTGCCTGGACTCTGTGATGCTCAACAACAATGAGCTGCCCCTGCAGAACAAGAGGAGTCGCTATGCTGAGGTGGTGGGCCTAACAGAGCTGAAGCTGGGCTGTGTTCTCTACCCCGACACCTGCCTGAAACAGCCCTGCCTCCACGGAGCCACCTGCAACAGCCTGCCCTCCGGTGGTGAGTCTGGGGAACTGCAAGAGGGAAATGGATGTGGTCGCGAGATAGGGTGTGTGTGTGTGTGTGTGCGCGCAAGCCAGAGGAGGCTGGAGGGAGGAGCTATAGGAGGACAGGCTCATTTTAATGGCTGAAATGGAATAAATGGAACGGAGTCAAACATGTGGTTTCCATATGTTTGATGTGCTTCATACCGTTCAATTTTTTCCAATCCAGCCATTAAAATGAGCCCGTCCTCCTATTGCTCATCCCACCAGCCTCCTCTGGTGCACGTGTGAAACAAACTGCCTGGGTTGGAACAAAAGTCTGCACCACCCTGTAGCTCTTGAGGACAGAGATTATTGGTGACCATTAGTGTCCATAATACACACACTGATAGGAGGATTTCTGTGCCAGCCTGTGTGCCCCTGTGCCAGCTAGCAGACTATAACCTCTCCAGAGATCTGGATCTCCCCTCAACATTAATCTATTATTAATCCATAATTAACTCCTAATTAAACTGTCCTTGACCCACTGTTTTTCCCACAGGTATGATTGTGAAATAGCCTCCCATACTCCTTCATCACGTCTGTGTTCTCTCTCTCTCTCTCTCTCTCTCTCTCTTTTTATCTGCCCGTTTTTGTCTGCCTTCTTTCTGTTCTTGTCTTCCTGTCTTTGTGTCGTTATATCTCTCCGGTTGCTCTTAGTTTTTCTGTCTGTTCATGTCTCTCCTCCTTTTGTCTGAACTCAAAAGTCCTACATTAACGAATCTTATCGTTTTCAAATCTGACTACAGTCAGGGCTCAAGACACATTTCGTTTTTCTTTTTTCTCAGCCGTTGGCATTTTGTACTGGAGTCAGTAGGGAAGTCTGGTTAAATGTAATCTCTATCGAAATTCCCTCCCTGGACTCAGCAGGGTGACCCCTTGACTTAACATGCTGACTTAACACATCAAGGCCAAGACTCAACACAGAGAGAGTGACTTAACGCTCCCGTGGGTTGGTCTTTCCCAGTTTCCCCGCTTGCATTTCTCATTCACAACGAGAGGCGGAGCGCTCTGAAAAGAGCACAGCATTCTGGGACTTGTCATGGTTGTCCTGGCTGTAAGAAGGTTCAGTGAATGGGGATTTTTGTTGTAATATTTGCTATAATTTTTTGGCTTGCCCAACCTCTTTGTAAAGGTTATCGGAGTATGTGTGTGTGTATGTATTCCGGTATCCCACTGTGTGTGTGGTGTCTGCGCTGTGTCGATAACACAATGACATTTCCCTGAGTTTTCCTAGAGGTGTGTGTGTGTGTTTGTGATTTTCCTGTTGTGTGTTTTGTGTGTGACTGTGTGTGTCAGTGTGATTTCCCAGTTGCGTGAGCTTTTGTGTGTGTGTGTGCCGTGTGATTTCCTAGAGGTGTGCGTGTTTGTGTTTAGGCTGGCAAGCTCTCATCAACCACAGGCCAACTATCCCTGGCAGCACCGCCAAAGCTCAAACAATGCACACACTAGTCTCCATGGCACTGAACACATTCCTGTGTGTGTGATGGAGAGTGATCGTGTGTAATGAGTGTGTGTGTAATGAGTGCAAGTGTGTGAGTGATGGAGAGTGTAAGTGATGGAGAGTGTGAGTGATGGAGTGTGTGTGTGATGGAGTGTGAGTGTGTGTGTTTGATGGAGTGTGTGTTTGATGGAGTGTGAGTGTATGTGTGTGTGTGTGATGGAGTGTGAATGTGTGTGTGATGGAGTGTGAGTGTGATGGAGTGTGAGTGTATGTGTGTGATGGAGTGTGAGTGTGTGTGTTTGATGGAGTGTGTGTTTGATGGAGTGTGAGTGTATGTGTGTGTGTGTGATGGAGTGTGAATGGGTGTGTGAGTGTGATGGAGTGTGAGTGTGAGTGTGTGTGATGGAGTGTGAGTGTGTGTGATGGAGTGTGAGTGTGTGTGTGTGATGGAGTGTGAGTGTGATGGAGTGTGAGTGTGTGATGGAGTGTGAGTGTGTGTGATGGAGTGTGAATGTGTGTTTGTGATGGAGGGTGAATGTGAGTGTGATGGAGTGTGTGTGTGAGTGTGATGGAGTGTGTCTGTGTGTTTGTGTGTGTGTGTGTGATGGAGTGTGTGTGTGTATGTGTGATGGGAATGTGAGTGTGTGTGTGATGGAGTGTGTGTGTGATGGAGTGTGTGTGATGGAGTGTGTGTGTGTGATGGAGTGGGTGTGTGATGGAGTGTGAGTGTGATGGAGTGTGTGTGTGTGTGTAATGAGTGTGAGTGTAAATGTGCGTGTGATGGAGTGTGAGTGTGTGTGTGTGTGATGGAGTGTGTGTGATGGAGTGTGAGTGTGATGGAGTTGTGTGTGTGATGGAGTGTGAGCGTGAATGTGCGTGTGATGGAGAGTGAGTGTATGTGTGATGGAGTGTGTGTGAGTGTGATGGAGTGTGTGTGTGATGGAGTGTGAGTGTGAATGTGCGTGTGATGGAGTGTGTGTGTGATGGAGTGTGAGTGAATGTGTGAGTGTGTGTGTGATGGAGTGTGAGTGTGATGGAATGTGTGTGTGTGTGTGTGTGTGTGTGATGGAATGTGAGTGTGTGTGTGATGGAGTGTGAGTGAATGTGTGAGTGTGTGTTTGATGGAGTGTGAGTGTGATCTGAATCTTCTGTGATGGTCTGAATGCTTTGTTCAATTATAGCACCACCCCTGTATGTAGAATACTTCATTTAACACACACTTTCCCCCCTTACTAGCCCTGACTCTGCTGATCGCTATTTTATTGAAGAATAATGTACTTACTATGACTGTGATGTGTGGTTGTCCCACCTAGCTATCTTAAGTTGAATGCACTAACTGTAAGTCTCTCTGGATAAGAGTGTCTGCTGAATGACTCAAATGTACATTTACTTAATTTACTATTTTCATTTTTTCTCTCCTTCGTCTCTTTTCTCTCTCTCCCTCTCTCTCTCTGCATCAGGTTTTGCCTGTAGTTGCAGTCTCCAGTACACTGGGGGGCGCTGTGAGACAGAGATCACGGCGTGCGTTCCCAACCCCTGCCACAACAGCGCCGTGTGCAAAGCCATCGGCAGCGCTTTCCTCTGCAGCTGCAGGAGCGGTTTCAAGGGCACCACGTGAGTTACTATCAAACTAATGACCACACTGTAAACATACAGTATACACGCCAACACACTCCTGTCCTGAACACACACCCATGGAGTTGACTATCTCAGACACACAGAATATGACAGACACAACCACACCCTTTAACACACACACACACACAGAGAGACACATAAACACCCACCTTTTAAATGACCTGTTTGTTTTAACGGGTTCAGCTTCCTACTGGCCCAAGTAGTGGATATAATATAAGGGATGTCATAAATAACGTCACTGTAAATGCAATGCCTCGTAATTTCCACTAGGTGGCAGTATAAACCAGCTCTTCTCTACAGTTATAGGCAGATGAGTAGAAGAGGCAGAGCCCCCAAGCTGCCTGCAGCCTGTAAGATTCATTCAAAGAGTTGAAAGAGAAAAAAAATATGACATTTAATTCTGCTTGTCTCCTTCTCTCCAGGGGTTTAGGGGTGTTCCACTGTGTTACATTAGAATATATTATGCCTCAGAAATCAAGGCTACAGGCAGTCGATCAATCAATCAAATGTATTTATAAAGCCCTTTTTACATCAGCAGATGTCACAAAGTCCTATATAGAAACCCTGCCTAAAACCCCAAACAGCAAGCAATGCACATTTAGAAGCACGGTGGCTAGGAAAAACTCCCTAGAAAGGAAGAAACCTAGGAAGAAACCTAGAGAGGAACCAGGCTCTGAGGGGTGGCCAGTCCCGTTCTGGCTGTGCCGGGTGGAGATTATAACAGTACATGGCCATTAAGGCCAGATTTTTATTCAAGATGTTCAAACGTTCATAGATGACCAGCAGGGTCAAATAATAATCACAGTGGTTGTAGAGGTTGCAACAGGTCAGTACATCAGGAGTAAATGTCACTTGGCTTTTCATAGCCGGGCATTTAGAGGTTGAAATAGCAGGTGCAGCAAAGTCACAAGGTCACTAATTCCAAATAAAATCAAATGTTATTTGCCACATGCGCCGAATACAACAAGTGTAGAACTTACAGTGAAATGCTTACTTACAAGCCCTTAACCAACAAGGAAGTTTTAAGAAAAATAAGTGTTAAGTAAAAAATGGATAAGTAAAAAATAACAATTAACAAATAATTAAAGAGCAGCAGTAAAATAAAAGAACAGTAGCGAGGCTATATACAGGGGGTACCGGTACAGAGTCAATGTGCAGGGGTACAGGTTAGTCGAGGTAATTTAGGTAATATGTACATGTGGGCAGGGTGTAATAACACTTATACACTTTTCTTACTCGCTGAAACACGCACGCGCACACCAGCAGCTTGTGTTCCATCATCGAAGCCATTTTAATTTCAGATGAGAAAGATCAGGAAAGTCAACCTCGGCGTGTTCGTTATTTGATAGGGAACATAGGAGACTAGGGTTGTTTTTCAATATGCGTACTACAGTGCTCCACACCCTCATGCTCCGAGTGCATTCTCCTGAGTACGTTCTTGTGAGGACGAGAGTGTGGAGAATGCATGAAACATTACATTTGAAAAGCACTCGCACTCCCCCTACTGTATTACCTCACGCTGTATCTCCCCCATTCACTGAACCTTCTTCAAGCCAGGACAATGGCAACAATAGAGACGAAACAAGATACAGTTGTAGTCGGAAGTTTACATACACTTAGGTTGGAGTCATTAAAACTAGTTTTTCAACCACTCCACAAATTTCTTGTTAACAAACTATAGTTTTGGCAAGTCGGTTAGGACATCTACTTTGTGCATGACACAAGTAATTTTTCCAACAATTGTTTACAGACAGATTATTTCACTTATAATTCACTGTATCACAATTCCAGTGGGTCAGACGTGTACATACACTAAGTTGACTGTGCCTTTAATGATGTAATGGCTTTAGAAGCTTCTGATAGGCTAATTTACATAATTTGAGTCAATTGGAGGTGTACCTGTGGATGTATTTCAAGGCCTACTCAGTGCCTCTTTGCTTGACATCATGGGAAAATCAAAAGAAATCAGCCAAGACCTCAGAAAAAAACTGTAGACCTCCACAAGTCTGGTTCATCCTTGGGAGCAATTTCCAAATGCCTGAAGGTACCACATTCATCTGTACAAACAATAGTACGCAAGTATAAACACCATGGGACCACGCAGCCGTCATACCGCTCAGGAAGGAGATGCGTTCTGTCTCCTAGAGATGAACGTACTTTGGTGCGAAAAGTGCAAAACAATCCCAGAACAACAGCAAAGGACCTTGTGAAGAAGCTGGAGGAAACAGGTAAAAAGTATCTATATCCACAGTAAAAACGAGTCCTATATCGACATAACCTGAAAGGCCGCTCAGAAAGGAAGAAGCCACTCTCCAAAACCGCCATAAAAAAGCCAGACTACGGTTTGCAACAGCACATGGGGACAAAGATCGTACTTTTTGGAGAAATGTCCTCTGTTCTGATTAAACAAAAATAGAACTGTTTGGCCATAATGACCATCGTTATGTTTGGAGGAAAAAGGGGTATGCTTGCAAGCCGAAGAACACCATCCCAACCGTGAAGCACGGGGGTGGCAGCATCATGCTGTGGGGGTTCTTTGCTGCAGGAGGGACTGGTGCACTTCACAAAATAGATGGCATCATGAGGAAAGAAAATGATGTGGATATATTGAAGCAACATTTCAAGACATGGCTTAAGGACAACAAAGTCAAGGTATTGGAGTGGTCATCACAAAGCCCTGACCTCAATCCTATAGAAAAGTTATGGGCAGAACTGAAAAAGCGTGTGCGAGCAAAGCCCTGACCCACTTTGAATGTGATGAAAGAAATAAAAGCTGAAATAAATCATTCTCTCTACTATTATTCGGACATTTCACATTCTTAAAATAAAGTGGTGATCCTAACTGACCTAAGACAGGGAATTTTTACTAGGATTAAATGTCAGGAATTGTGAAAAACAGAGTTTAAATGTATTTGGCTAAGGTGTATGTAAACTTCCGACTTCAACTGAATTAAATGACCCACAAATTATCTGTAAGAGTTTTTAAAGTGCCAACTGAAGTGACAAAGGTTCAGATCTATTGATACCTACATCAAGGATTGTTTTTGGAGTATATAGAGGCAACTGTAAGTCGGACTATCCAAACTGATTACCAAACAAAGTTTTAACAACCCCTCTTTCTCCCCTCATCCCTCTCTCGTCTTCCTTCTCTCACTCCCCTCCTCCGTTCACCCTCTCCAGGTGCGAGGAGGACTTAAATGAGTGTGAGCGGAGCGGAGCCACGGGCGGCGCGGCAGAATGTGAGAACGGCGGTTTGTGTGTCAACACGCACGGCTCATTCTACTGTAACTGCACGGCGGGCTTCGTGGGCCAGCGCTGCGGTCTGCGGCCCGTGGTGGTACCAGACATGCAGGCTGGACACGCCGTGGTGGGGAAAGAAGAACTGATCGGCATTGCTGTCGTCCTCTTCGTCATCGTCACCCTCATCATCCTCTTCATCGCCTTCCGCAAGAAGGTATTTGTATTGTGTTGTTTAATTATTCTCATGTGTTTTTATTTTTACGATGAAATGTGTAAGTTTTATCAAATAATTCAGACTTCATTGCTTTTACAGATGTAGGATCTTAATTTGATCACCATGTGCTGCGATGCAGTACATTTAAAACTTGTATTGTATTTGAGGTTTAAAAAGGCTTCTGAAGTTTCTAATTTCCACAGAAATGTCAGACTTGAATTTCCCTTAAGAAAATGTATCAACCCCTACAAAAATGTCCATGAATTATAATCCACATAAAACGTCACATTTCCTGTTGCTGCAGGATTATTTTTCTACCACAGAAACTGGTTTAAGATCCTATATCTGTAATATATTGTTTACAAGAAATACAATAAAAACATTTTGGCTCCAGGTGTTCCAGAAGAACTACTCCCGTAACAACTTGACACTGGTCCAAGATCCAGCAACAGCAGCTCTGTTAAACAAGGCCAACGGGGTTCAGTTCAAGACCCTGCGCTGCACGCCAGGAGACCCCTTGAACCTGTACGCCGAAGCGGGGCTCTGTGCCACGGTGATAGGGGGCGGAGCTGGGATGCTCGGCCCACCTCAGGTGCCTGTGAGGCCCATGGCGTACACGCCCTGTTTCCAAGGCGAGCCGCGGTCCACGCTGGAGAAGATGGCGGACGGGAGAGGCGTGGAACACACTGAGATGAGCACCTTCCACCCAGAGTCTCCCAGGATTCTGGGAGGCACAACGCGGAGGGGGGTGGTGGTGTGTAGCGTGGCGCCCAACCTGCCACCTGTCTCGCCCTGTCGTTCCGACTGTGACTCCATCCACAAGAGCCCCTGGGACTGCGATGAGGGTCAGTGTGTGTGCGTGGCTGGCATAGTTATGTGTTAGTGTGATGAATTTGAATATGTTTGTGTGTGGTACAGTCTTTGTTCATACGTGTTTGTTTTTGTGAGTGTCTTGTGTGTGTGCATTCACGCATACTGTACAGTCGTGGTCAAAAGTTTTGAGAATTACACAAATATTAATTTTCACAAAGTCTGCTGCCTCAGTTATGATGGCAATTTGCATATGCTCCAGAATGTTATGAAGAGTGATCAGATGAATTGCAATTAATTGCAAAGTCCCTCTTTGCCATGAAAATGAACTTAATCCCCCCCAAAAACATTTCCACTGCATTTCAGCCCTTCCACAAAAGGACCAGCTGACATCATGTCACTGATTCTCTCGTTAACACAGGTGAGAGTGTTGACTAGGACAAAGCTGGAGATCACTCTGTCATGCTGATTGAGTTAGAATAACAGACTGGAAGCTTTAAAAGGAGGGTGATGCTTGAAATCATTGTTCTTCCTCTGTTAACCATGGTTACCTGCAAGGAAACACGTGCCGTCATCATTGCTTTGCACAAAAAGGGCTTCACAGGCAAGGATATTGCTGCTAGTAAGATTGCACCTAAATCCACCATTTATCGGATCATCAAGAACTTCAAGGAGAGAGGTTCAATTGTTGTGAAGAAGGCTTCAGGGCGCCCAAGAAAGTCCAACAAGCGCCAGGACCGTCTCCTAAAGTTGATTCAGCTGCGGGATCGGGGCACCACCAGTGCAGAGCTTGCTCAGGAATGGCAGCAGGCAGGTGTGAGTGCATCTTCACACACAGTGAGGCGAAGACTTTTGGAGGATGGCCTGGTGTCAAGAAGGGAAGCCACTTCTCCCCAGGAAAAACATCAGGGACAGACTGATATTCTGCAAAAGGTACAGGGATTGGACTGCTGAGGACTGGGGTAAAGTCATTTTCTCTGATGAATCCCCTTTCCGATTGTTTCGGGCATCCGGAAAAAAGCTTGTCCGGAGAAGACAAGGTGAGCGCTACTATCAGTCCTGTGTCATGCCAACAGTAAAGCATCCTGAGACCATTCATGTGTGGGGTTGGTTCTCAGCCAAGGGAGTGGGCTCTCTCACAATTTTGCCTAAGAACACAGCCATGAATAAAGAATGGTACCAACACATCCTCCGAGAGGAACTTCTCCCAACCATCCAAGAACAGTTTGGTGACGAACAATGCCTTTTCCAGCATAATGGAGCACCTTGCCATAAGGCAAACGTGATAACTAAGTGGCTCGGGGAACAAAACATCGACATTTTGGGTCCATGGCCAGGAAACTCCCCAGACCTGAATCCCATTGAGAACTTGTGGTCGATCCTCAAGAGGCAGGAGGACAAAGAAAAACCCACAAATTCTGACAAACTCCAAGCATTGATTATGCAAGAATGGGCTGCCATCAGTCAGGATGTGGCCCAGAAGGTAATTGACAGCATGCCAGGGCGGATTGCAGAGTTCTTGAAAAAGAAGGGCCAACACTGCAAATATTGACTCTTTGCATAAACTTAATGTAATTGTCAATAAAAGCCTTTGACACTTATGGAATGCTTGTAATTATACTTCAGTATACCATAGTAACATCTGACAAAAATATCTAAAAACACTGAAGCAGCAAACTTTGTGAAGACCAATACTTGTGTCATTCTTAACTTTTGACCACGACTGTATATTCAAATGTATGTTTGTGTGATTGAGTATCCCTCTTTTCCAGGAACCCTTGAGGGGGGAGTGCGTTGTTTGTTCAATTTCCATATTCATATTACACACAACTACACTCAGAGAGTATCACGTTCAGTTTATCAAGACCATCCTAATTATGAGCTGGCTTTGATTCCCAAATCCAAAGTGTGTGTGTGTGGTACCTCTAGCTCTCCTTGCCCGCATTGTTGTCACTGGAGCCGAAGTGTGTGTGTGTGATTTGTGCCACAACAAAGACAGCCCTAGTACTAACGAGCCTGTTTTCTTCTTCTGTGACTAACCTCGCAGAGGGCCAACTCTCCCTGGCCTGCTCCCACCGCCGTCCTAACCTCTGACACCCTGACCTCTAACCTCTGACCTCTCCCTGCAGGTAAAATGGTAGATATGGGTGAAGAGATGACCTGTTTCTCAGGGAGCAACAAGGGCAGCAACTCTGAGGTCCAATCACTGAGCTCCTTCCAGTCCGACTCCTGCGATGACAACGGTAAAACACGCCCCTCCTTTCTCGTGCCTCTTTCTGGCCACAACCATAACGACAGTGAGCTAGTCTGCCATCCAGTTCGATAGCAACCCTTAACTTAGTCCTGTCTTCCCCTAACCCCCTATCATAACCCTTTGCTGTCGGCAGATTCAGAGGAACCAGATACTGTATGTGAAAGCAATATGGCTGAAGCTCCCTAAAGCAAATCGGATGAGGTGACGCCGTCACCATATTGCGTCAATAACAGTTCATTTAGATCAGCAAACACCGAAGAGATAGGGGACTAGGGGAGGAGTCGGGGGTGGTTTGATGTTAGAGCATTAAAAGAGATGCTGTGATTAACAATAACTATGGGAACCCTGGAGTGTTTATTGTTTCCTAAAGCCCTCTCTCCTAAAGCCCTCTCTCCTAAAGCCCTCTCTCCTAAAGCCCTCTCTCCTAAAGCCCTCTCTCCAACAGATACATTTACTCCTGCTGTGTTATAAAAGTGTTTCAGGAAAACTATTTGTTATCCAGTGTGTTAGTTTGTTTTTCCTCAAATCATGGTGATTTATTGTTTGATTTATGTGTTTCATATAATTTGTTCATGTTTGGAAGTTTTTTTCTTATTTTCTTATTTCTTTCTTTCTTTATTGAACCTTTATTTAACTAGGCAAGTCAGTTAAGAACAAATTTTTATTTACAATGACGGCCTACAAAAAGCCAAAAGGCCTCCTGTGGAGACGGGGGATAAAAAATAAAATAAAAAATATAGGACAAAACACATAAAGACAAGAGAGACACCACAACACTACATAAAGAGATACAACACTACATAAAGAGAGACACCACAACACTACATAAAGAGAGACACCACAACACTACATAAAGAGAGACACCACAACACTACATAAAGAGAGACACCACAACACTACATAAAGAGAGACACCACAACACTACATAAAGAGAGACCTAAGATAACAACATAGCATGGCAGCAACACAACATGGTAGCAGCACAAAACATGGTACAAACAGTTTTGGGCACAGACAACAGCACAAAGGGCAAGAAGGTAGAGACAACAATACATCACGCGAAGCAGCCACAACTGTCAGTAAGAGTGTCAACGATTGAGTCTTTGAATGAAGAGATGGAGATTAAACTGTCCAGTGATTAATCCATTGATTTTAATCCAGTGAATTTCCACACCTGTCAGATTGTTGTTTTAATTTGGAAGTGACAGTATGCACACAGACAGACAGACAGCTGTGTTATGTTGTGTTGACTTGTCATCGTTTCATCATCACGAATTCAAGCATGTCTTTCTATGGTTGTAGTCGTTGATACTGCAGCTCTAATTGTTGGCAGAAGCCAGTTCAGGTTTTAGGTGGTTGTTTATGTGTTGTGTTTTTTTGTTTTTTTTGTTATGTAACTTGTGCTGTGTTGTTGTGGACTTTGTGGCGTTTTGGTATTGGAAAAAAGTCCGTAGTAGTTATTTTTACTTTGAGAGTTAGCCTATAGATCGTCGTTTCTGGATAAACATGGTTCACTCAGATCATTCTGCATAAATCACTGATATCACCATGGTGAATCTACATAATCATAGTGTGTTGCTACTATGTACTACACTACATAACTGACATGCAATGTTGACATATCAACATTGATGCTTCATTCATTCATAATTAATGGAACTGCTTTACTGTCAGTCAAGATGATCACATTTCACATAATATCTGACTGTGATGCTAGCCAATCAGGCCACAGAACAATTTGAAGCGGACCAATCAGTTCGGACGACCGCTCCAGTGGATGTGATGTGATTGGATGTCATTATTATGTTCATTCCATTTTCTTTCTCGATTTGGTTGTTGTTTTTGTAATTATCTGATTTTCATTGAATGTCTTCAAAACATAATTTAACAGTCTAGCTCTCGTCTCTCTGAGTTCTCCTATGGGGACAGCCGAAAACTCCTTTTAGGTACTAGATAGCTCCTTTTTTTCTAAGAGTGTAGGTCTTCTAAGTCTGGTTCCATGTGTAGCTTTTGATCAGACACCTCCCATGTTACACACCTCTAGTGTTGATCCCATCTTCAGCCAATAGTAGCTCTGCTTCCTGGGAGCCTGTTGTCAACTTCCTGTGTCTCAAACCGTGTCTCCTCCCTCTGCTTCTCTTCAACAAGCCTCCATAGTGACTGTCATTCGACTGGTCAATGATGCAGTCGACACTATTGAAAACGAAGGTACCGTGTCTCATCCACCCTTCTCTCTCTCTATCCTTCTGACGTTCTCTTTACTTCTCCCGGTACTTATCTCTCTCTCTATGAGATGCCATGCCAGTGTTATCCATGACAATACCATGACTGTGCCGTTGTTTGAAGATCATGTACTTCAGCTATGATGTAAAATACATGGCTTGTATGTAATGTAAACTCAATGTACACACACATACTGTAGGCTTTATATTTTCAGTACACATCAAGTACCTAGCTTACATGGAACCCATGTGTTGAGGTGTCAAGCCTCAACACACACACACACACACACACACACACACACACACACACACACACACACACACATCAGGGGTTCATGGGGGGGCTGACAAAAAGGCAGTGGTGGAAAAAGTACCCAATTGTCATACTTGAGTAAAAGTAAAGATACCTTAATAGAAAATGACTCAAGTAAAAGTGAAAGTCACCAGTAAAATACTACTTGAGTAAAAGTTTTTAAGTATTTGGTTTAAAATATACTAAAATATCAAAAGTAAATGTAATTGCAAAAATATACTTAAGTATCAAAAGTAAAAGTATAAATCATTTCAAATTGCTTATATTAATTAAGCAAACCTGACGGCAACATTTTCTTGTTTTTTTATTTATTTACAGATAGCCAGGGGCACACTACAACACGCAGACATCATTTACAAATGAAGCATTTGTGTTTAGTGAGTCCGTCAGATCAGAGGCAGTAGGGATGACCAGGGATGTTCTCTTAATAAGTGTGTGAATATAACCATTTTTTGTCCTGCTAAGCATTCAAAATGAGTACTTTTGGGTGTCAGGGAAAATTTATGGAGTAAAAAGTACATTATTTTCTTTAGGAATGTAGTGAAGTAAAAGTAGTGAAAAAATATAAATAGTAAAGTACAGATACCCCCAAAAAAACTACTTAAGTAGTACTTTAAAGTATTTTTACTTAAGTACTTTACACCACTGCAAAAAGTTCAAGGCTGAATCAGTGTTACTCACAACATGTGCATTGACATATTCCGCATACATAAATAAACTGACATATTCCACATACATAAATAAACTGACATATTACACATACATAAATAAACTGACATATTACACGTACATATATAAACTGACATATTACACGTACATAAATAAACTGACATATTATAAATACATTGATATATTACACATTCAGGTGGATGGGAGGAGTAGTGAGAGATTGAGGGAGATAGATAAAAGCCCTCCCCCCAAGTCTCAGATGGTCCGTTCTTAAGCCTCGCAAACACACGCTAAAGCTCTCTCTTCTCCTGTTCTCCCACCTGACAGTGTCAGTCATGGATCAAGGTCAGAGCTACAACAGAGGTGATCCACACCATTCTCTTCATCTCTCTCACTCCCTTTACTTCTCTTGCCCTCTTAATCTCCCTCTCCCTCTCTCACTCTCCCTCTCTCACTCTCCCTCTCGCTCACCCTCTTCTCATTCTCCGTCGCAGCTCACTGTATTTGTGTGATTTGTTGCTCCTAGCCCCCTGCCAACACACACACAACCCAGCATGCGTTATCCCCAGGCACAGTGTTGTTGTGCTGACTGAGCAGCCCTGATGCAACCTTGGAACGTTGCCTGGGTGGAGAGGCTTCGCTCATCTCCCATGACAACCACTCACTCTCCAACGCGCCTCGTGGCCGTTCCTCCTCAGTTTGGCCAATTTTCGCTTTTATTTGCTGTCACCTGCTGCCTGTGACATGTGATGTTTGATCCTCTCACTGCATTGCATTTGCATCCCACCTCCGAGCGTGTTGTTTAGTTTTTACTCCATTTGACTGATGTTACTGCTTTTAATTTGACTGATGTTACTGCTGATGTTACTGCTTTTAATGAGTTTGTCCTTGCTGACGTTGCTTTGTTGAGATTTGTTGTTTGAAGCTTTTCTTGAACCTGTCAGGATGGATTTAACTTTTTAGTGCTTCTCACTTTGGTTTTATAATTTCCTTTGATGCATGTACTGTCTGTCTGTCTTACTGTCTGTCTGTCTGTCTTTCCGTTCTTTGTTTTTGTTTTGTATTTTACAGTTTAATGCTTTGTGAAATGTTCCCTTGTTAACATGTGGAAGTATGTCAAGCTGTGATGTGATTGTTGACGTTGAATGATCCCATCGGTCAGTAACCTCTGACCTCTCACCATGGCTTGGCTGTTCCGAAGTGCCACCCTTACTCCTTCTGAACCCTGACATGATGTGACCACTGACCTGACATTCCCAGGCCTCCCTCCTGCATGTTGTGGTTGACGTCTAACTGTGTTTTTGTTGTCTACAAGCATGCCCGATGGACCTCTGCAGACAGACTGTAGTTGTCCACTAACATGCCTGATGGACCTGCAGATTGTAACTGTCCATCGGGCATGTTGGCAGAGATTGTGTCTGCTAAATGTGATCTAACTCTGTCTCTCCCTCTTCCAGCATATCACTGGGACACGTCTGACTGGATGCCCAACTCAAGGCTACCCGACATCGAGGAGGTGCCCAGTTACGAGGCCAGAGGCCTGGGGGGCCACGGAGACATGGTTGCCTCAGCCTCCCGACTGGGGGGCAGCTCTCGCCTGGGGGGCAGCGCCCGGGAACTGGAGTCAGACTACTACCTCGGGGGCTACGACATCGACAGTGACTTCCCCCCTCCTCATGAGGAGGAGTTCCTGACCCAGGACCAGCTCCCTCCTCCCCTCCCCACTCCCCTGGAGGAGTACCAGGAGCACCCCTACGACACCTTGCCCGCCACCCAGCCTGCCTCCAAGGAGAGCACCCTGAGTGGGAGTGTTAGTGGCAGCACCGGACGCCACAGGTCCCCCCGCCCACACTTCCACCCCAGCCAATACCTGCCCCCACACCAGCTGCCTTTGGGGGAGGCGGGGCAAGGCGGGCCAGGAGGGGAGGAGTTCAGCACTTTTGTGGGTGGGGCGATCACGGCGGGAGGCGGGGACATGGATGATAATGTGTCGCTGAATATGAGGTTGTCGGTGGACGCGTCATCAGCCTCGGACGTGTCGGCGCCCTGTGGCTTTGACGACTCGGAGGCGGGCGGTAGTGACTTTGACAGTATGGATGAGCTCCACCAGAGGGGGACACACACCGTAGAGATGCAGCAACAGACTGAGGTCTGACTGGGCCCCACCGTGGGGTCAAGGAGAGTGGCTAGGGGACGGGGTGGGCAGGAGAGCAGGACAGAGACTGCTGGGGTAGGAAGTGGACGAGCTGTGGATGCTGTGTCGAGCTGTGCAGATTCCTCTGGATTGAGTAATGAAAAATGGAGGTCCTCGCTCAGAGGGGAATGATTGGTGTTTAATGGACACACTGCTAGCTAGTGGCTACATCATCAAAACAGTACACACCCTAACCCTTCAACCACTGCCATTGCAAACACTAACCTTAAACCACTTCACCCATTGCAGGCTTTATCCTTAAACCACTTTTCCTCATTTCAAGCCACTACCATTAACCATGACCCTTTAGCCACTACCCTTAAGCTAATACCAAGCCACACGCAATGAAAAGCAATGTGTTTTGGAACATTAGTACCTAAAGCTGGCCATCATCATAGCCACTACCCTAGAGTGTTATACTCTTCCATAGCGAGGAACAGGGAGCCTACCAGATATGTTGAGTAAGTATGAAAACAGGGTAAGAATGTGAATAAGAAAGATTAAGTTGAAAAACATACAAACTTTTAAGAGACAAGTGCAGAGAAAATGGATGAGCAAGTGCAGAGAAAATGGATGAGCTAGTGCAGAGAAAATGGATGAGCAAGTGCAGAGAAAATGGATGAGTTAGTGCAGAGAAAATGGATGAGTTAGTGCAGAGAAAATGGATGAGCTAGTGCAGAGAAAATGGATGAGTTAGTGCAGAGAAAATGGATGAGCTAGTGCAGAGAAAATGGATGAGCTAGTGCAGAGAAAATGGATGAGCTAGTGCAGAGAAAATGGATGAGCTAGTGCAGAGAAAATGGATGAGTTAGTGCAGAGAAAATGGATGAGTTAGTGAATAAAGAAAAGGTGAAGAATGTTTGGGGAAAAGAAAAGAAGACAGTATTGTAATTGAACGGTCAGTACTGTGATATGGCCTTCTCTTTTCCCCAAACATGTGATTGTTTTTAGCTGCACACAGCTCCCCTGTCCCACCTCTCACTATACCTGCTCACCCACAGAGGCCCAAAGGACTTCTCACTAACCAGGATTCAGGGGGGACAGAATTTAGCCTGTACAGAATTTGTGAAATAGAAATGAAAAAAGTTGGCCTCCCGAGTGCCGCAGCGGTCTAAGGCAATGCATCGCAGTGCTTTAGGCATCAATACAGACCCGGGTTCAATCCCAGGCTGTGTCACAGCTGGCCGTGACCGGGAGACCCATGAGGCGGCACACAATTGGCCCAGTGTCGTCCGGGTTAGGGGAGGGTTTGGCCGGCCGGGATGTCCTTGTCCCATTGCGCTCTAGCGACTCCTTGTGGCGGGCCGGGCGCCTGCAAGCTGACTTCGGTTGGCAGTTGTACAGTTTCCTCCAACACATTGGTGTAGCTGGCTTCCGGGTTAAGTGAGCATTGTGTCAAGAAGCAGTGCGGCTTGGCAGGGTCGTGTTTCAGAGAACGCATAGCTCTCGACCTTTGCCTCTCCGAAGTCCGTACAGGAGTTGCAGCGATGGGACAAGACTGTAACTACCAATTGGATATCACGAAATTGGGGTAAAGGTTTTTTAAATTTTTATGTGAAGAATATTTTGTATTTATTATTATCCACTCTAAGAATGCCATTTGGATTGATGTGAAATATGTTTCTTATTACCCTTAGTCCAGACCTCTTCCCCTGAAATCAGGCCTGTGACGCCATGAGGGTTTAGCCATGCATCTGTCCCACCACATGCTAAACGGCTATCTTGCCTCTCTCCTTTTGGGCCAAGTCATTTTGCTTTAATGATGATATATGATCTTTATTGTTTTGCACTAGTATCTTTAGATTTTTGGTTTTGATGATTATTACATGAAACGTGCTATATTATTGAAATCCTCCAAAGGACATTATGATGATATGTAATTCTGGACCAGTTACATTAGTATAATAAGCATTGAGGAATTTTTGTGTTTTCACTAAAGTCCCTGATTTTCAAATAGATGTTGAAAATTGACAATTTACATTGAGTTTGCTTGAGCTATTACATTACCCAGCATGCAACTCAATATTTTATTTCCCCTCCTTGTTCTCCTTCTGTCCCATGTTTTACACTGAGCAGGGTTCATAGAGTCACTCCAGTATTTCCCGAAGCCATAACAGCAATAGACTGACTGGTGGATGAGGAGTAGGGTCCGTGCACAATGCAAATGCATTCTGGGAAAATAATATAATAATGTAGCATCCCATACCGTCACAGCGGCCAGACAGCGTTGCATCATGAGTCTTGTCAGTTGCTGTGTTCCATTTTGGTTCCGTCCGCTTAAAAAATGATATAAACAACGGTCACTAACAATGGCTTTATTCTACACACATCTGGATCACTCCAGGACAGAAGGACAGATAACAAAACAGATGAGTGTCGGATTGGACTTGGAGATGTATTGGACTTGGAGTTGTATTGGAGTTGTATTGGACTTGGAGTTGTATTGGAGTTGGAGTTGTATTGGAGTTGTATTGGACTTGGAGTTGTATTGGACTTGGAGTTGTATTGTAATATAATATGCCTGATCCAGTCGGGCAAGATTTTTTTGTAAAAGATGTACGTTTATGTTAAAATCTTTGTACAGTGTACATAGATAGCTAGGTTGTTAAAATGCTGATTTTGTAGATATTGAATTGCAATCCTGACTGTCTTTCTTTGAGTTTCTTGTTTTTGTTCGATGTGAATGTGGACAATAAGAGACCATGAGAAATCAATCATCTTCCCTCCTCTGTTGGCCTTTTGCCTAAAGTCTTTTTTTAATTTTTTCATTAACCTTTGCTTTAAAACATAAAAAGCCATTCAATAGACTAGGTAGAACTTGCACAGTATTAAATGCACAAAACCTGCATTACATTACATCCCGGTATTTTTTTAATTTTTTATATCTTTCTCTGGTTTCTGTTCCTTTTCAATGATTTTAGGTAGTATTAAAATATGTCTAATCTAACTGCAGCAATTGAGTGTACAAAATGAGTTATTTTTTAACTGCTTTTTTGTTTTTTAAATCAATGCTAAAAATAAAAAGGTTCTTGATCAAACAAAGACTCAATTCTTTCTTAATGCAATGTAAAAGGTTTTCCTAAGATGTTACAGAATGGACTAAACTTGGTTAACTGTAAAAGGTTTGCCTATGATGTTACAGAATGGACTAAACTTGGTTAACTGTAAAAGGTTTGCCTAAGATGTTACAGAATGGACTAAACTTGGTTAACTGTAAAAGGTTTGCCTATAACGTTACAGAATGGACTAAACTTGGTTAACTGTAAAAGGTTTGCCTAAGATGTTACAGAATGGACTACATTTGGTTAACTGTAAAAGGTTTGCGAGGTAACTTGTTTGCAAGGTAACTTGGTATGATTACAGATTTATATGCAAGTATCACGTATTGCTCTAAAGCCCTGAAACTCAAATCTGGACCTCGAAGCCAGTCCCACTGCATTTTTTTATTTCCCCCCTCTAATTAAGGACTGATTTAGAACCGGGACACGAGGTGTATGCAATTAATTATCAGGTAGAACAGAAAACCAGCAGGCTCCGGTCATCATAGGGTAAGAGTTGAGTATCCCTACTCTAAAGCAGTGTGTCCCATCTCCGGTTCTCCAGTAACCCCAACAGTACATATTTATATTGTGGACCCGGACAAGCACACCTGATTCTACTTGTTAACTAATCATCAAGTCCTTGACAAGTTCAATTAGGTGTTTTTCTCCGGGGCTACAACAAAAATGTGTCATGTTGGGGTTACTCGAGGACCGGAGTTGGGACAAACTGCTCTAAAGTACCACACAAGTCAACAAGCAGGTCCATAAAAACATTAAACAGAGCTACATTGGTACACAGTACAGCACAAAAAAACAACAACATTGCAACCCAATGAACCACAGCACTACATTATGAGTAGCTATGCAAACCTTCATGTACACAGTGGCACAAAGCACAACATTTTCAGTGCTACTCTGAGCTGCATTAAGCTGTGTAAGATTTTGCTAGCGTTCCAGGCCAACTACATTGCAGATGTCGCATTCCATGAAAGAATACTATAGTTCTTAATATAGAATAAAACTGTAGTATACTGTAGAATACTTTACTACACACTGTAGTATACCTCGATCGTGTAGTGCTTAATATAGAATTTTGTAGTATACTGTAGAATACTACAGCGCTTACTATAAAATGTTGTAGTTGTGGAACACTAGATGCGTAACTTGGCTTGACTGGTGTTTAACTACAGATGTATTTCCTCAGTTAGAAGGAAAAGGCTAAGCCCAAGAGATCCATGCAAACTGTCAATTATTTATTACAAGGCATAGTGTTGTATAGCAAGCATGTGTGTGTGTGGTCTTTTGGCACTTACGCACTTACGCACAACTGGTGTACACAACACAAGAATAAAAGTTGCAAAAAAGTAAATGGAGCTGCCGACAGATGCAGGCTTGCATCAGGTGGAATGGCGCGCTTATAACTCAAGCCCGTGAAACCACAAGAGGGAGCGCAAGGCCGTGTGCAAAAGATTGTCAATCAACGATGGGCTTTTCCACAGTTGTATACTGTAGAATACTATACTACACACTAGTATTCCTTGATCATGTGTAGTACTTACTATAGAATTCTGTAGTAAACTGTAGAAGTGTCCGCAAAAACACTACCGTGACCGCAAATAAACTACAGTTTTTAAACTATAGTAATACTACAGTATTTAATATACAGTACCAGTCAAAAGTTTGGACACATCCTACTCATTCCAGGGTTTTTCTTTATTTTTACTATTTTCTATATTGTAGAATAATAGTGAAGACATCAAAACTATGAAATAACACGTGGAATCATGTAGTAACCAAAAAAGTGTTAAACAAATCAAAATATATTTTATATTTGAGATTATTCAAAGTAGCCACCCTTTGCCTTGATGACTGCTTTGCACACTCTTGGCATTCTCTCAACCAGCTTCATGAGGTAGTCAC